CAATCCAATCAAAATCCTTAGCACAAAACGAACATAGATATTTTGATTGCAACTATAATCACTAATAATTCTTCTCCACCATGCAAACCTATAAACAAACACATAAATCTCACTAAAACCGAAACCAAAACCAAACCAATAGCAGAGAAAGAGAATCACAAATGATCACATAGGAAAAATAAAAAAAATTTAAAAACAAATAAATATATGGAGTGAGAGAACGTTACCTCTAACAACTTAGACCTCACATAACCCAATTCGTTAGCTCCTTCGTCAGTGCCCTCGAGGTCTAGGAGTTAGGATGATTAATCAGATTATTCTTAAAATAAGACTTGAAAATTAATTAATTTGTCCCATTAAGTGATATAAAATTTTGATAGATATACATTAGAAAGATAGATAATTTTAATACTAAATCATAATTCAAATTTAGATATTGTTATATTTTTTTGAGATCCATATCTAAATTCTTATATTTTTTTATTTTTATTTTTGTGTGGTTTCTATTTTTATTTTTGTTTGTAATTTATTTAGGATGGAGTTTTGGGTTTGTATTTTTTTTTTAAATTTAATTTATCTGTAGTTTCTATTTGTTCTTAATTATTATTATTTAGGTAAGTTATGATGTGAGTTAGATATGTGAGTTTTATTGATTTAAAGTATGATGGTGAGAGATGTATTCAAATTAGATTTATTTAGATAGACTTTAAAGATTTTTAAATTTTAAATTTGGATATTGAGATGCAAAAGAAAGATTTTAACTGAATAAATAAAAATCAAATTAATTAATTTTATCTGTTTGTATATTTGATTTTTAGTTTTTTTTTGTTATGTTATAATATAATATATAAGACATAGATAGATATCCACAATTTTCATGAAAAATATTACCTGATTTTTTTGGAAAAGATAGAAGGAAGACAATTTTTAATATTTGTTTTTTGGAAATTGTTCAGAGGATGGATAGGTTATGAAATATTTTTATTATCTTTGCATTTGAAATCCATAAATTAAGGGATAATTATTATTTCTAGAACAATTAAATAAATAAATCAGCCAATAATTTTTTTTAAATCTATTTTATAAATTGAAAAATCAATATTTTTAGAAAATTGATTAATTTGTCCCAATAAGTGATTTTAAATTTTGATAAATATGCATAAAAAAATAGATAATTATATTACTAAATCATAACTCAAATTTAGATATTGTTATATCTTTTTGAGATCCATATCTAAATTATTATCTTCTTTATTTTTGTGTGGTTTCTATTTTTTTTTCTTTTCAATTTATTTTAGATGGAGTTGTAGGTTTTTATTTTTTTTTAAAATTTAATTTATCTGTGGTTTCTATTTGTTTTTAATTATTATTATTTAGGTAAGTTTTGATACTAGTTAAATATGTGATATATATGTGAGTTTTATTGTTTTAAAGTATGAAAGTGAGAGATATTGTGAAATCAACTTTGTTTAGATAGACTTTATAGATTTTTAAAAGTTAAAATTGGATATTGAGAGGCAACAGAAATGTTTTAACTGAATACATAAAAATCAAATTTATTAATTTTATCTGTTTGTATATTTGATTTTTAATTTTTTTTTTGGTTATGTTATAATATAATATATAAGATATAGATAAGTACTCATAATTTTCCTGAAAAATACAAAGGAATGCAAGTTTTAGTATTGTTTTTTAAAATTGGTGAGAGAAATTATGATGAAGAGATTATGAAATATTTTTATTATTTTTCCATTTGAAATCTATAAATTAATGAATAATTATTATTTCTAAAATAATTGAATAAATAAATCAACCAATAGATTTTTATAATCTATTTTATAAATTGAAAAATCGATAGTTTTAGAATAAGAGTTTCAAGCTTTTAGGAGGCTTCTCATTAGAAATCTCATTTTCTTTATAAATAGATAGATAGATAGATAGATATAGATATTCATATTTGTTTTTGATTTTTTTTAACATATAAATTATTATTTTTAGACTTTTTATAAAAATAATTTAACAATCTCATCACTAACCATAATGTATGGGAAAAGTTGAAAAGAGTGCTACAATAACTATGAAATAGTAAAAAAGGCTGTGAGTTGAAAGAAGTTAATAAATGCTGAGATTTTTTTTTTAAAAAAAAAATCAAAAAAATTAATATTAGAATATTGGAGTTCTCTCAAGGCTTGTGGGTTAAAAACCCTAGTGTTTCACTTGTGCTATGCACGGGTTGTGTTTACAATTATTTATATATATATGTGAAATGCGATTTTTAAATGTCTTTTTTTTTATATTATATTATATTAAAGTTTAATATTTTGAAAATAATCATATGTGTTGGACTTTTCAAAGAATTCATATGCGTTGGATTTTTTTAAATTTTTTTTATGCTTGTTTTTTATTCATTAAAATGTTATTATAAGGGATAATAATCATATGTGTTGGACTTTTTAAGGAATTCATATCTGTTGAACTTTTTAAGGAATTTTTTTTAGAATAATGCTATATGTACTAATTGGTGTTCTAACTAGTGTACCAATTGATGATGTAACATAATTTAAGAGATTTTTAGAATTTGTAATGTGATTAATAAGTGGGGTCAATAATAATGTCATAACTAGTATTGATATACTAATTAGTATATTAATTGGTGCATGTAGCACTACTTTTTTTTATGCTTGTTTTTTATGTATTAAAGTATTATTATGAGGGATAATAATCATATGTGTTGGACTTTTCAAGAAATTTTTTTATACTTGTTTTTAATGTATTTAAGTATTATTATAAGGATAAAACTTGAGAATTGAAAGAAATTAATAAATGTTAATTTTTTTTTAAATCAAAAAAATTAAAAAATTTAAATTAAAATATTAAAACTTCTACAAATTTTGAGAGTTAAAAATGGCATCGTTCTTATATAATATATAAATATTTTGTTTATAGCTCTACTCCTTATTTCTTTAAAGTCAACCCAAAAGTGTCGTTCACCTAAAGTAAGATCGTGGCTCAATGTGCGCATGTGTTTCAATTTTTTTTTAAAACATTTTTTAATTTTTATATATAATAAACAAAACGGTGCAGTTTTGTTGACAGCACCTACCCACTTCCGAAGTATTGTTCACCGCGGCTTACAGCGGGGTGTTTGTTTCAGCTTTTTAAAATTAACTTATCCTTTTTAGCTTTAAAAAAATTATTTTAAATTGTTTGGCTAAATTTATTTCAAACAGTTTTTGATTCTGACAACTTATTTTAACTCAAAAAAAACTGATTCTGAGAAACTGTTTACCCCCTTACTTCTGATTATCAGCTTCTGCTGTGGACATGTTAATATATGGTTATACTCTTAGATTTTTTATTTCTTATTTTTTAAAAATAGAAAAAGACCCAAATAGACTATAGATTATTATTATTATTTTTTATGAGAAATGTAGATAAATAGTAAATAATAAAAAATAAAAATTAATTAAAAAAATTATTTCACAGTTTATTTAACAAACACCACTTAGCAACTTAAATCTATAATCCAATAAGTACACTAAACATATTAACAACTTCTGATTAAAGTCATAATTTATAATCTGTTAAGGTATAATTTATACAGTTATGCCAAACGAGACCAGTGTGCATGTGTTTCAATTTTACATTTTTATATATAATAAACAAAGCGGTGCCGTTGTGTTGTTACAGAACTATGCTGTTACAGCACGTACCACCCGCTTCCGGTGAACTACTCCCGCTCCTAACTAATCCCCAATAAATTGTAATACCATAATATGCCCACCTCTCAATAAAAGAAAAATGCTTCATACCACTAATTTAACACTATTAATAATGTGACATCATGTAGATTCTATTATTAATGTGATAGTTTGGTCTTTGTTTTATTTATTTATTTATTTTTTTACATTGCCACCTCATTAGTGATGCCTTTAGAATTTCAAATTTAGTACTCTAAATCACCACTCCTAATAAAAGGCGTATAAAATTATGTGAAATTTAGACATATTTTATTTTCATTTCACCTACCTTTTTCATTTTCCTTTCCAAATCTCTCCTCAAATCCCCCAATCAAACAGAGCGTTAATAAAATTTTTAATAAAATTTTTGAATCTCGCATTTTTGTAAACTAATCCCTAAAGAGCAACGTTAGACCTTCACTTGTCTTTGATCTTGGAATTACTGCAATTTTTCAGTCAAACCCGTCATCCGCACAAACCCTGATTGTTTCGCTTCTATTTTATGCATTTTTCATCTACAAGAGCCAGAGAGTAATATTTCAAAGGTTTTTCTTTCTTCATTTCCACTTCTATTTACAATTTTCAACTATGATTTTGTTTTCTCTCTTCAGTTTTATTATAGCTCTCTCTGTTCAATTGTTGTTTTACCCAGAAAGAATTGTAATCTCCTCCTCTGCAACTCTATTATAACTCTGTTGTGTTGAGCAATTACCAGAACAATATTCTCTCTGTTCTGTTTTCATTTTACCAATCTCTCTTTCTTCTTTTCTGTTTCTGTTTTGGTAAAAAAAAGTTCTCGTTTCTATATTCAACCTTGTTTGCCCAAAAAAAAAACTCTGTACCCCCTTTTGATTTTGCTCAGTGTCCATTTCCTAATCTTTGTTCAACCATTATAAACCAAAATTGATTAAGTATTTGCGATCAGCCTAATTTTTAGGGACTAATGTAGAGTTTGGTAAAAGTTTGATTTAGAACGAATTATTTAGCTTTAATTAAAAAAAAAAAAGAAAAAAAAAACTTTGTATCCCTTTTTGATTTTGCTCAGTGTTCCTTTCCTATCTTCACATTCTCTTTGTTCTATTTCATTTTGCAAAGCTCACTTTCCTCATTTTCATTTTGATTGTCGTCCCAAAAGCTCCTTGTTCTGTTCTATACATTTTTCATTGCGCAATCCTCAGAAGAAATACTTGAGAAAGGTGGCGTTGGGGGCATATTTGACACAGGTGAGAAATGATCTTGAACTTTGTTCTTCCCGTAGTAATGAAGATTGGAGAATATCTTGTTGCCCCAGTTGGCCGCCAGTTTGGTTATTTGATTTTCTATGAGGCCAATATTAAGAATCTCGAAAAGCAAGTCCAAAAGTTGGAAGATAAAAGATTTGGGGTACAAAAATCAGTTGAAGAAGCAGAGACAAAGAGAGAAACTATTGCACCAGATGTCGAGCGGTGGTTGAAAACAGTGAATGAACTCAACGAAGAGGCTAAGAAATTCCTCGAGGATGAAGTGAAAGCAAACAAAGGGTGTCTGAATGGGTGGTGTCCAAATTTGAAGTCACGCTACTCCTTGAGCAGAAAAGCTACAAAGAAAACTCATAGTGTGCAAGAGCTACGTGGAGAAGGAGATTTCTCTAGAGTGTCCTATCCCAATCCTACAGTTGCACCTTATGTGGGGACAACATTTGCATTCACTGGAGGTTTTAAGGGGTTTGAATCTAGAAGATTGACTATGAATGGAGTTATGGAGGCACTGACAGATGATAGTATCTATGTGATTGGGATATGTGGGATGGGAGGGGTTGGTAAGACAACTATGGCGAAAGAAGTTGCCAAGAAAGCGGAAGAAAAGAAAATGTTCGATAAAATCGTGATGGTAGTAGTGTCCCAAAACCCAGACTTGATTAATATTCAAGGTCAGATAGCCAAAATATTGGATTTAAAAAAATTTGGCGGAAACAATTTACCTATTGGAGCGGGGGAGATACCATAAAAAATATTGAGCATTAGAAGAGTCCTTGTTATATTGGATGATGTGTGGAAGAGACTAGAATTGAATGACATTGGAATTCCACTTGGAGATAATCACAAGGGTTGCAAAATTGTGATGACTTCAAGAAGTGAAGATGTATGCAACGGCATGGACATACAGAAGAATTTTAAGGTTGGTGTCTTACATGAAGAAGAAGCATGGAATCTCTTCAAGGTGATGGCTGGAATTTCTGACGAAGGTACAAATCACCCAACTGATTTACAGTTGACGCAGATGGCAGTTGCAAAGGAATGTGGAGGCTTGCCGATTGCTATTGTTACAGTCGGGAGGGCACTTAGATGCAAAAACAAGTATTCATGGGATTCTGCTCTTGAACAATTACGAAAGTCTATGGTCAAAAACATCAGTGGAGTGGATGAAAATGTGTTTAAATCTCTGGAGTTGAGTTATGATAACCTTGAAAGTGGTGAAGCCAAGAAATGCTTTTTGCTCTGTTCTTTATATCCGGAAGGTTTTGCTATTCCAATTGAAGATCTCGTTAGATATGCGATTGGGATAGAGTTGTTTGAGCGCATTGATAGTGTGCACGAAGCAAGAAATAGAATATATTCCTTAGTTGATGACTTAAAAAAATGCTATCTATTGATGGAAAGTGAAGAAGTAGAGTGTATCAAAATGCATGATGTCGTACGTGACGTGGCTATATCAATTGCATCTAGGGAGGAGCATTCGTTTTTGGTGAGATGTGATAAAGTATTGAAAGAATGGCCTGAGAAAAACCGACTCCAAAAGAACACTGCAATTTCATTAAAAGTTAATGATATGCACTGGCTTCCTGGTAATTTAGAATTTCCAAATCTCCAGCTTCTACAGCTGGATTGCAATGCTGGATTACCACCAATCTCATCATATGATCTCAACAAAGGGATGGAGAAGGTCAAAGTACAAGAAACCCCAGATAGTTTCTACCAAGGAATGAAAGAAGTTAAAGTTCTAGCTTTATCCAATATGTACAGCTCATTGCCGACATCACTTCAATGCTTGACCAAGCTCCGAACCTTGTCACTTTTTCGTTGCCGACTTATTGATGATGATATCTCTATAATCGGAGCATTAGAGAATCTGGAAATTTTGAGGTTTGGCGGCTCTTATATCAAGGAATTGCCAAAAGAAATAATAGGTCGCCTTGCTCACTTGAAGGTACTTGATTTGTTGGGATGTGTACTGGAAAGGATTTACCCAGGGGTTTTGTCAAGCTTATTAAAGCTAGAAGAGTTGTATGTTGGGTCTATCTTTGATAGTTGGTGTAGAGTTGAAGAAAGCAAAGAAGGTGCTAAAGCAATTATCGATGAGCTGGCGACCTTGTCCAATTTGGTGGCTTTGGATATTGCTCTGATAAACATTACCTTCTGGCCAAGAAGTTTGGTCATTGAGAATGTAAAAAAGTTCAATATAGTTGTTCGCACTTCCGTTGGTGGCTACATCCCCGACCCTCGTTATTCGTTATCAAATAAGTTGGCGCTTCGAGTTCAAAATGTGAGTGACATTATTGAAATGAGGCTTAATTTGCTTTTGAAGAGCACCGAAATTCTGACTTTAAAATCAAGTTTTAAAGGTTTGAAAATTCTCGGTGATTTGGTCGACGAAAAGGGTTTTGAATGCTTAACGAACTTGACACTAGAATACTTGCATGATTTGGAATACCTCATCAATACAGCAGATGGGGTTCAACAGAGTGCTTTCCCTGTGTTAGAGTTTATGGAACTTCGTTATCTATATAATTTCAAAGGGATTACTAGTCTTAAATGCAGACTACCAAACAAGGCTTTTAGTGCTTTGAAAGAGTTGAGAATGGATTCCTTGCCTGAACTGACAAATTTGTGGAAGGGTCCCACCCATGTATGGCTTGGCAACCTGATGTCTGTAGAGGTGATTTGGTGTCATAAACTGGAAAGTATATTCTCACTTTCCATAGCTAGAGATCTAGTGCAACTGCAGGACCTTGAGATCAGTCAATGTGATGTGATGGAAGTAATTGTTTTGAGTGAAGGAAGAGAGCATGAAATAGCACCAATAGCAACAGATAAAATTGAGTTTGCTAAACTAAAGCAATTGTGTCTTGATGACCTGCCAAGTTTTACTGCTATCTGCAAAGCTATGAATGCAATTGAACTGCCACAACTGAGTTACTTGGTACTGCGGGACATACCAAAGCTGAAGCGTCTCTGGCCTGCTTCAGATTCAGAGAGTGATTGTGATCCCATCATTCAACCCCTCTTCAGCAACAAGGTATGCTTCTCTTATTTAAGAACTTAATTAATTGCTAATTTGTGAACGACTTTTGATTTTATTTACTATAATATCTCTATTTAAGGTTTAAATTTTTTCATAATTGCGTAATAAGATTGAGTGCATTATTTTTACGCCATATTCAATATAAATTGTGTGTTAACATACATGTTTGTGTTTATATATCTTCATTCATACCAAATAAAATTGAATAAAATTTACTAACAGAATTTCTATGTATCAAATTTATACAAAATGATGTGATAATTGCATTTTTACAATCTTGAGCCACAAAATGGACATTTTGCATTGAGGTGAGAGGACTATACAAGGCCACATTATTCTGTATGAAAAATTATATTTTAAAAAAGAAGGAGTTAACTAAATTATCTATTATCCTATCAACTAGTCAATTGTGTCCATGTAAGTAATTAGTAAAATAGTTGGCAGTTTAGTTTGTATGTAGACCCTAAACCCTAAACCCTAGACTTTATTGTTCGATGGGACTTCAGGAATTATAAGAAAATATATGGGATTTTCTGTTGAAAACCCTTATTTATAAAGTCTAAATTTGATTAAAAAAAATATATATATTGAAGGTTCTTAAAATTTTAGTACAAATTAAGGCTAATCCATATAGATTTGAAAAATATTGATAAAAAAAATTATAATTTAATGCACTTTTAATTTTTAAGGTAAATCACACTTTGTGCCCTTAAAGTATTACCAATTCATTTTTTGGCCAATAACTTTATTCCCAATTTAGTCCTTACACCATTGAATTTTTGTTAGTGTGGTCTCTTAGGAAGATGTCTCTTTTGGAAGATTCTACTTTCAATACAAATTAAAAATTAAAATTATAGATGACGATAATGTATGTTACTTAATTTTGAAATCATTAAAAAAATGATAAATTTAATATAATACATCTTCAAAGTTAACATAAATTAGAGGAGACATGCAAAATGAGTTTGCTGGAAATTTGTGTTAATGTATATAATATGATAGTGGTGTTGGTGGTAGATAGTGGCATGTATAGAATATGATAGTGGTGTTTGTGGTAGATAGTGGCATGTATAGAATATGATAGTGGTGTTGGTGGTAGATAGTGGCATGTATAGAATATGATAGTGGTGTTGGTGGTAGATAATGGCATGTATAGAATATGATAGTGGTGTTGGTGGTAGATAATGGCATGTATAGAATATGATAGTGGTGTTGGTGGTAGATAATGGCATGTATAGAATATGATAGTGGTGTTGGTGGTAGATAATGGCATTGATAAATTTAATATAATACATCTTCAAAGTTAACATAAATTAGAGGAGACATGTAAAATGAGTTTATAGTCAAATTTTATATATAGGCATACAGATAAATATATATATATATATATATATATATAAGAAATAAATAATAAGAAAACAAAAATAGGATTGGGATTGTAGTAGAATCAAGATCATAGTGCGACGCTATATGATTTTATGACTATGATAGCAGTCACTTTAAGATCTTAATGTGATTTGGATTATTTGACCCAACTAAAATCGTAAAATAGTAAGGGTGAAGCAAGGGGAATTAGTTGTTTGGAATGTTCGTCTTCATCGTGATGTACAGGATTGGAGCTAGACCAAGTGGTGGGTCTTCTAGGCTTTTTGTATGGATTGCAAACTGGGGGGGCTGGGATGGATTCTTTAGTATGGGATGTCCGGAGCTCTAAAGGTGTTTTCTCAGTGTCCTCATTTATGGGGTGCTTGCAGTGGGAGTTGGTGGTGCGTTTCCTTGGAAGTGTATTTGGGCAACGGGTTCTTCTTCTAAGGTTGTTTTTTTTGTTTGGACAGCTGTTTTGGGTCGTATCCTCACTATTGATAATTTGATTCGGCAGTGGCATGTGTTGGTGAATTGGTGTTGCATGTGTTGCAGGGATGCGGAAACGGTGGATCATTTGCTTCTTCATTGCTTGGTTGTGTCCAGACTTTGGAATTTTCTTGTTGCTTTGTTTGTCTTAGTGTGGGTGCAACTGGGGTCTTTATTGGGAGTGTTATAGAGTTGGGGTGGGGCTAGGGTGGGGAAGAGGCGTCGGAAGGCTTGGGGGCATGCTTCCCATTGTTTGCTTTGGTTGGTATGGTTAGAATGGAATAGGCGAGTGTTTCAGGATGAGTGTCATTCTGTTTTATGGTTAGAGAGTAGGTTATTGATGGTGCTGCATAGTTGGGTTACGGGTACAGTCGTCCCCAATGTTTTGGTCTTTGTAGACTTTGTGGAGGATTTGATTAATTAGTTTTGTTTAGTCTTTTTGTGGGCTGCTTTTTTGTATTCTTTGCATCGTCTTGATGCTTTCTAATAAAGTTTGATTATTTATCAAAAAAATAAAAATAAAAAATCATAATATAGTAAGATCCTACGATATGTATCACGATTCTAATAACCATGATCAGAATCCTTGTAACTCATTTATCTAGTGACTAATTCGACTTCTCATCACATTGATCACCCTCAGTATACTAAAAAAAAATTTAATTTGTATTTTATATTTGGTAAATTTAAGAATCTAATAAAATGGGTAGGACTTTTTAGCGCAATTAGGATAAAAAAATGTATTGTAATAGATTTTCAAGAACAGTTTTATGTTTAATTATTCAAATATTAAGTATATTAATTTGTAAACTAAATGGATGATGTTTAATGGGAAAATTTCTTGTTGTGGTTAATTATGTTTGTAACCATGTGAATGAACTCACAGGTTAAATTGACTACAATTGAAGAATTGACCATCTCTGGCATGGTGAATCTGATGGAGATTTGGCCTGGGGAACTTCAAGCTAAACTAAGAGAGATGACAGTTGAGAGGTGTCATGGGCTCTCAAATATTCTTTTCCCATCCAATTCAATTAAGGGCATTCAAAATCTTGAACTACTTAAAGTAGTGAACTGTCGATCTATTGGAGTAGCATTTGACCTTGAAGGACTTGTTTGGGAAGGCATATTAGATATGGCATTACCTTCATTAAAAAAGGTGAAACTAAGTTGTCTGCCAAAGTTGGCACATGTTTGGAAGGACAATTCAACAGGAATTCAAGGCTTTCAGAACCTAAGATCCTTAATAGTAATTGAGTGTGACAGTTTGAGAAATCTATTCTCATACTCTCTAGCTAAACTTCTTGTGAAATTACAAGAAATAGAGGTAACTGAATGTGGTATGATGGAATCAATCATTGGAAATGAACCAAATGCAGATGATGCAGTGATAACAAATATAATCATGTTCCCTCAACTAAGTAGTCTCAAACTCAGTGATTTGCCAAACCTTAGGAGTTTCTGCTCTCAGACTTGTGCCTTTGATGGATCATTGTTGAAAACAATAAAAGTAATCAACTGTCCCAAAATGAAAGTACTCCCATCAGCATTTCAACGCAAGCTAGAGCAACAAAAGGCAGACTTATCAACCTCATCTCAACACCATCTCTTGGATGGAAAGGTACGTTAATTAACTTTAAATATAGCATTTCCCATTAAATAATTATCAATTCCTGCAAAGAAAAATGGATGACCGGCCAGTTTTATAATCCATTTTCTGAAGACAAAGATGATAAAATCATATTGTTTTAATTATTGAATCAATATGATTAGTTTATTTATTTTTTTGATGATCTATACACAAAGACTTCTGTAAAAAAAAATGATTTAAATTAGCAAAGTGGGACTTGTGATAAGCATACGCCCCTGCCTAGCCCAACCACTCTTTCAAATTTTTAACAAAGATTTATCAAGGAAACAAATTTGTAAACATCAATTCTTGGAGTTCTCTATTCTAGTTTACTAATAAACAATAAATGGACAAATAGATGGTCACGTCGACAAATTGACAGATTTGTGAATAAATAGATATATAGGTAAAGGTTATATGATATTTCAAATTGTTGTTATCTTTATGGATAAAAAAGAATATAAGTTGAGACAATTGCCGCCAAAATTTTAATTTTAAATTTCTATGGTTGACACGAGTGTTCTTTATTAAACTAATATATTGATAATATATGGGATGATAAATAGTGTTAATTCCCCACCATGATTTGATCATAACTCCCACTTAATTTGAACGGTTTGAGATGTCCAATTAATCAATCAATACCCATCTAGTCCAATTTTGTTCACATATTTTTTGAGTGTGAACAATGCACACATTTTGATTGGTGTAGAATAATAGGACTTACTATTTTGGGTGAGGTCATTACACTTTTTAGATATAGGGTTAACATACTTAAACCAATCCTATTTTGTGTATTATTTTTATTGTGTGAACAAATTCATTTTCATGCCATGCACTCCCTAATTTGTGTTAATTTTGTTAATCTATAAAATGTGTCCTGTGGTGTTTCTGTTGGACGCCATTTGTCGAAGTCGTTAAAATTATGACTCGTTGAGAAAATCATTCTTATAAAAAATTACATTGATTTGAATACTATAGCTATATTATTAGATTGCATTTGTCTTCAAAATAATAAACAGTCTGACTATCTGAAAAAAAGAAGTCTATAATCAAAATTATAATTGTTGTCAATTTCTATATAACAAATGTGATCTAACCATATAATTATAGTCGTCCAAACAATCTGATTTTTTGCAAGAATGATTTTCTTGACAAGTTCTTCAATATGAACGGCTCAGATCATTGAGGTGGGCTTCGTGAGGGGCCCAAAAGCCCAACAACACCTCCATTTAGTTTTGCCAACTGAAGGAAAGTGTTACCCTAATTCAATATATTATTAAGGATTTTTAAGTCTCTTTAGTCTTACTGATTTATCCCTACTCTAATTCTCCATTCAATGTTCATAATTTTATTTTTTGATTTTCTAAAGTCCATAATTTTATATTGTTACTAGTGATAATGTGACAATATGACTTTTTTGAATCATGTTTTTTGATGAGTGGACCCTTTTAGAAAAAAAATGATAAACTATATAAGCCTTAAATATGATATTAAAAAAATAAAAATGCTTTATAAATAGAACTACAACGAGATGGATATTTTTTGTTTGAAATGAAACACTACAAAATGTCTTATATTTTGTATAAAATTGTTGCATAATCCTTTTATTTTATTTTATTTTTATATAACATTACTCTTAAAAAATGTAGAGCCTTCCAAAATAGAAGCCTAAAGCCTTTGCTTTGGTGGCTTTATATTAAAGCCAGCCCTGGTGGTGAGGGTGGTAATTGTGATAGCAAAGGGTGGTGGTGGTGGTAGAGTAGTGTTGCTAGGTGATAGGTGGGTGGGTGGCGGCGACAATGAGTGCTGATGGTAGTGGGGGTGCTGGGGTAGTCGTGTTGATAAGATTTCAGCATGGGAAATGCTTTTAATTTTATAAAATGGAAAACTTTTTTCACACAAATTAATTCATTTTCCAATGAGTAGGGAAAACGTTTCCGCACAATTTAACTCATTTTTTGTAATGCTTGTAGTCCTTATATTTTGATTTTTGTGTCATTTTAATTCTTGTAATTTTAATTGGCTCAATTTTGATCATGAATTTATGATCTTGTCTCAATTTAGTTTAATTGATTGCAATTGTTAGCATTTTTTAATAGAAAATACACACATAAGCGGCATGTGTCATGCTTTTAAGTGCATAATTATGAATTTGTTTAATTTAGTGAGTTAACCTCAATCAATTTAGTAATCATTTTCTGTATTTAAAAAAAAAAAATTCCACTAAACAAATTATCAATTGGATTAAATTGACACAAAATCTACAACTATAAAAAATGAACCAATTGTAAGTATAGAAACTAAAATAATAAAAAAAGCAAAATTTAGGGACTACTGGCATGATTTGTCATTTTTTGTAATGCTTGCAGAGTGAGATGGTAATTCTCTAACAAATGTTAGAGAAGAGAGTTGGATGTGTAAAATTTAATTAGAAAAGGCGATTTCGCTATTTAATTTTTGGCTGGAAGCGCTGCATACTATAGTTTTTCTTGATGATAGACTACTGCATTCTAAAATTCATTTTCCGATTCCATACAAGCTCTTGTACCTTATTGAGTCTGACTATTCTACTTTAAGGTTGTGTTTGGTTCATAGATTTGGATAAAGATTTGAAAATAGAAAGAGAGAGGGAAAATATGTGTGAAATGTAGTTATATTTTATTCACATTTCACTTACATTTTCTTCATTTTTTTTTTTAAAATTTCTTCTCAAATCCATGAATCAAACACAGCTTAAAACTATTTGGATATTGCTGTTTTTCTTTAATAAAATTCCATGCGCAAAACAAGTTGTGCCCTAAGTTTAAGTCCTTCGTTTTCCTTGTCTATTGTTCAAATACTTAAATTGTGTTTGGATCATGGATGTAGGTAAGAATTTTGAAATGGGAAAGGAAAAAGGTGAGGACAATGTGAATAAAGTATAAGCTAATTTGTTCTTTATTTTTCTTTCCCTTTCCCTTTCCCTTTTCAAATTCCTATCAAAATTTTTCATAATCCAAATATAATGTAGAGAATTCTAATGATTTAATCTTTTAAATGTTGACTTACCAATAAAGATTTTAACCGTTGTTGGATATCTTACATTATGCAAGTATTTTATAGGGCAGAAAATATCATTTTGTCCCCAAACTGCCACTAAAAAATTAATTTAATCTCTGGTCTTTTAGTAATATCAATAGATTTGGTATCAATTTTACCTTCACCGTCAATTGCCATTTATGATCTAACGGAAGTTGATGATATGACACCCAAACTTTATTTAAAATTTTATTTTATCTCCAAACTATCCCTAAAACTCCTGAATAAATTGAAGTTTTGGGATAAAGTAACAATGCCACTAACACTAACACAGTTAAATATAATAAACTTACAGATTATTTTCAGAGACTGGAATTATTCTTTATGCAAGTTTCGACTGGTTACCATCACAGACATAAATGGATCAATAGAGATGTGGCACAACCAACTTGAAGTTGACCGCCTTGACAAAGTGAGATTCATGTTGGTCCAATGTTGCGGGAAATTATCAAGTGTGATTTCGTTGAATTTAACGCAAAGACTACAATATCTAGAACGGCTGAAGGTATGGTGGTGTGATTCACTGGAAATGATATTTGACCTCCAAGGGTTGGTATGCGCTAGTGCTACTGGTGAGAAAGGAACATCAATATTTACTTGGTTAGAAGATTTGAAGTTGATGTATCTGCCCAAGTTGATGCATATATGGAAGAATGTTTCTCAACAAACTCATTGTTTCACAAATCTAAGCTCCCTAGAAGTGGAGAGGTGTGACAACCTGAGATATATATTCACAATTTCCATGGTTGATGTCCGTGAATCTAAACTATCTAAGAATTGAAAATTGCGAGAAACTAGAAAAGATTGTCACCAGGGAAGCAGAAGAAAAGATTGTCACCAGGGAAGAAGAAGAAGAAGAAGAAGAAGAAGAAGAAAGTGATGACGACGATGAAGACGGCAATGGCGATGATGAAAGGGGAAAAATCAATATTTTCAGTGTGGAACTTGAAAATCTTCGAAGTCTCGTGTGTATTGGAATTCCAGAATCCCTAATTCGTATTTCCAAATTACATGTAAATTTCTGTCCCAAGTATCGAGGTAACCAATTATACTTCTATGCAAATATGCTTCTTTCATTATAGTTGTATTTTCCAAATAAAACTCTCTCAAGAAAGCAACTTCACAGTTTAAGGAAGAAGATTAGTTGATCCAAAAGTCACAACTGGCAATAATGATGAATTGTTTAATTGTTGAATTGTTGGATGAATAAAGTGCTGGAGATAATTCGATTCTGTGATTTAGCTGCTGTCATCCATGGTCTAGTTACATCCAGTCGGACTTGTTGGCTTCATTCACCGTAAAACATGTGATGATTGGAGCCAACATCTCAAGAAACCGCTCCCAAGTAACTTCACAGCAAACAAACTATTAGTAAATAGCGGCTTAAGATTTTTGGAGATCTTAGACTAAATATCAAAATAATGTCTTGTCTAATTAAGTCTTTAAAAAGTTGAGCCTCTTGATAATTTTATTTTTAATTAATTAATTTATTTTTAATTTTTTTTTTTGTGAGTCTGAGGTGATAGTCCAAGTCAAAAAGTTACTAAATTAGCCTGTTCCCAAACGAGGCCTAAATATCAAAATAATGTCTTGTCTAATTAAGTCTTTAAAAAGTTCAGCCTCTTGATAATTTTATTTTTAATTAATTAATTTATTTTTAATTTTTTTTTTGTGAGTCTGAGGTGATAGTCCAAGTGACCTAATAGTTGAACTCAATGATATTCTTGAATAAAAAAAGAAGAAAAAAGAACTCAATGATTTCGTTAGGAGAGGTGCTCTTGACACTAATGATGTCCCAAATTATTAGCTATATTTTTAGTTTTAGTAATCATTTGATACTTGCCACATGCAGGTTATGAAGTGGAAGGGGAGTAATATTACCAATAGCTGCGGTGGATCGCCAATCTCTTCATAGAGAAGGTATGCATTATTGCTACACACATACCAAAAAAAAAATAAAAATAATAATAATAAAAATATTACACAAATTGCCTCTTCATCCTGTTGATAAATATACTACGGGTTTATCTGTTCATGCTGATATCTATAAATTTGTAGTCTATATATTTATTTATATTTGTTTGTGAGGCCTTCCAAATAATATTTTCTGTCAAGAATCTGAACACTTTGCTAAACCATTTCATTGTGCAAAGTAAAGAGCTGTAGTTTAAACTGTTGTTTACAGAATTCGTTGGTGTGATTTATAGAAATAGTTTTATCTTTTCTTTTTTTTATCAGCGAAGAAAATAAAAATATTAAAGAGAAAGAAGAGTATAAGGACTGAAACGGATTGACAAAAGCAAAGATTAAATAATGTAACTTTTTATCCTCACCATCCTGCCATAAAAAAATTTCCTTTGCAGTCTTCCAATTCTCCTAAAATTGCTTGAGGGATCCTGATCAAAGATAAATTAGTAGACTGGTAGGTTGGCCAAAATTTAGACAGAATTCATCAATTTTTATTTACATATAGTACAATTTTCTTGTTACTATATACAAAGTTCATTCCATTGGCCGGGTATGTTCAAAATAAACTGATCTTATGTCAAATGCAAGAGTTTATTATTATTCTGTAATTTAATGCAAGTTTTTCTTGTTCAACTCTATTATGATTTAATTATCACAAATAATTTTCTAACCAATATGTCTGTACTAGTTTATTTATTTATTTTTTCGACACACTTTCAAAAACTCTATTATGATTTCTCCAACATCTTACCATCACCACCACTACTACTACAGCACACCATGACTATTAGTAACCATTAGTTTCAGAGTTATAACCAAATATAGGAAAATATTTTCTATGTATTACATTTCAAAAAAAAAAAAAAATCTTTTTCACATAAAATATTTTACTGAAATAAATGGAGCATAAATTTATAAAATTAATTAGATTTATGGACAGTACAAACGTATTAATCATATAGATTGAAAATTGATGTTGTCATATCTTTTATATTAAAATATACATTTTACATTGTTTATCTTTGTGGTTTCACACCATTTGTATTTGTTTTGATCTTTTTAGCTTTACTAAAAGTGAGGTTGAAATTATGTAAAAACTGTGGGACTTGTATTTATCCTTCAAATCTTAGGGGAGATCACATTTAATTTGTTTATTTGGCATCTCTAGTTTTTAATTTCTTAACAAAAGATGTTATGTATATATTGTTGAGAAATCTATGTTGCATATATGTTTGACCTCCATTATTAACTTGATAATAAATATTTCTCTCTTGCCATGCCTAAAAAATGTTGCATTAGACACAAGCACATTGAATGTAATAGCTTTAACTAGTCTTTAATGTCTTTCATTTTCAAAATTTGATTGCAGATGATTTGCTATGTATGCTTTTCTTAATAAAGAAGTTGAAGAAATAGATATTGGCCCTATTTATGAAGAAACCAAGGCTACAAGGTGTTCTTATATATGAACAAACTGTTTAGTTGTTGTGATTACATTTTATCTATTATTGGGTTGATTGTGCTAGCATAGCTTTCTCTGTTGTGATATAACTGGATTGACTTTAGGGTAAATTACACTGACACCTCTTCTGTTCTTCTGAAATCACATTGACACCCCCTTTATTCCTTGAAATCGCATTGGCACCCCTTACTTTAGGAGTTTGTGTAACACTAAAGTCCTTCTGTTGGTCAGACGTTTATTGACCAACGGAATATGGTGACATCATCCATTAAAGACCACCAAATGTCAAATTTACACTAAAATGAAATGCATTTGCATTTCATATCATTTATATGTTGCAAGTTAGAGATATCTATCTATATATATATAAAGTGTCTTCAACCCAGCCCCACACAATCTGAGATTAAAAAAAATAATCATTAACCTGATAATCAAAGTCCATTAGTAAGTATAATCAACCTAATTCACACACAACCTAGACTGAAAAAGAAGAAGAAAAAAAAGTCAACACCAAATTGTTTATGCAAAATATATTCAATTGCCACTGAGAACTATATTCCATTTTTTTCATAGAGCAATGCTACATCCACCAAATTTTTTGTTGCCCGAATTGCTCGAATTTGTTTATGCCGGTCATTTGACAGGTCGACCGGCCGGTCGTTCAGATGGTAGGGTAGACGAGGGTGAAGCCGGTCGTTCGATTGGCCGACGACAAATTCGGTGGATAGATCATTTCACTTTCTCATATTCCATTTTCTTCCATATGAAAACTATATTCAGTTGCCTCTCTGAGCCTCTTTCATTCTCTAAGATTTTTTTTTTTTAAAAAAAAAAAAAACCAAATTGATGGATGATCAACATGTTTACACAACCTGCTTACACACAACCTAATATCCTAAAGGTCAACACCATGTTCACACACAACCAGATATCACCATGTTCAAACAACAATATAATAAAAAGAATCACCATGTTCACACAATCTGATATCCAAAATGAGTCATTTCATTCCATTAAAGATAATCATGTTAATATCCTTGACATAGTTACTTATGTAAAAGCCAAAGTGTTATTTGTGCAATGTATGTCCCAACTGCACAATATATACTTCCATCTGTGCAAATTGTCCACTAACACAAAAATAGACTCTGGAGAAACATGTAGTAACATGTATCAGTGATGTGATGCCCACAACTACCCAAAAACATTGTATGAGCATGCTCCCTATAGCATGTACATCCACAAAAACATAGATATATAGATAGATAGAGAGATAGATATATTGTCCATTAAGTAAAAAAAAAAGTTTCAGCTTTCAAACTAAAGCTAGAGTTGTGCCTATTCCGAAGGACCAGTCGATGTGCCTTCCCCATGTGCCCCCCTTGCACTCACACTTGCGTGAGTTGGAACTTTAGGTGCAAAATCATCAAGTGTAGGCCTCCCTGGTGCAGAACCACTTGCTTGACTCCCAAAAGCAGACCTCTCACGTCCAACCCTCCTATTAGTAGAGCTGACACCTCCAGCCCTTTCACCAACAGACCTCCCACGTGCAGCCCGCCCACCAGTATAAGTACCACCTCCAGATGTTCCACTTGCGAAACCACCAGCTGCAGGCCTCCTAGCTGTGGAACCTCCTCCTTGAGTTGGGACCTCATGAAGAGAAATATATTAAAAAAAAAAAATAATAATAATAATAATAAAAAGTAAACCAAATAATAAACTTAAATGACATGCATAAAATAAAATACTTGTTGCCTTCCTTTGCCCCTTCTAGTAGGTATCCTCTTGCGGGTGTTCTTCCTCTCCCTCTGGTTATGAGTGAAGATGCAACTGGAGCTCTTTGACATGTCTTTTTATTGTGGAATACCTTGATGGACACTGCTGTTGAAGAAGAAATGTTACCCAATACACCCTCAGACTCATCAGCTAATAGCTCAATTTGTCTATAATAATCAGGATTAACATTCTTTATTCTGTGCAGATTTTTCTGATAGTGAACAAGTGGATCGTATATCATCGCCATAGCTATAAACACCAGAAAAAACACAGTAATCATATAAAAGCACATTTTTTATAAGTTTGATTTATGTATCAATTTCTACCCCTTTTATGATATATATATATATATATATATATATTTTAAAGAACCAAAAAATAAAACAGAACAAAAAAACAGAATAAAAAAAGACAGAGAGTCATTATATACAAGTACATATACAAGCTCAGGCTTTGATTAAAGCAGGAAAAGTTTGATCATTAGCTTCAGTACATTTACATCACTTTTGAGTATAAACTAGCACATTTTTTCGGTTTTAACCTTTGGGAGTAACCAATTATCATGGCATTGAAATTAAAGATAGTGAGTATATTTTTCAGAACTAATTGGGGCATTTCATCAAACATCTTGTGATCATTTCTCAAAGTTAAAGTCACAGAGTTGAAGTGTAGTGGAGTGAAGTGGAGAAGAGAGATAACATAAAGGGGAAAAAGGGATTTGGCTAGTAGGGAAGAAGGATTGGGCTGGTTGTATTGGTAAATGAAGAGAAAAACTAGTAAAGGGTGGGAGAGTAACATAACCCAGATAACCCATTTGCTGGAAACAGCTAGTTGCATGTTTATTCAAACAAAAAAGAAACCCAAAACCCACCAAAAAACCCTAAAACCCCAAAGTTTTCAATTGCAAAAAACCCTAAACTTTTTCAGTCACAGCAAAACCCTTAAAACTCCATTCAAGTACAAATCCCTAAACAAAAGTCTATGCTAGTTGATTCACAATCTTTAACATACCTTGCTTGTAGATTCTCTTCTTTGTCTTTTACAAATCTTTGCTTCTTGATCTTCGTTGTTAGTTGGTGTTGGTGATATCAAGAGAGAACAGATTTGTAGAGAGTACACATCTCTACACCCTACACCAAAGATGTTGGGCCTGAGAGTGAGACATATATAATTTTTTTATACACGTAAATAACTGTAAGGAAGGGCATAGTAGTCAATTCATCATTTAATTAAACGGCGTTATCTGACAAGGGGTGCCAGTTTGATGTCAAGAAATGAAGGGGGTGCCAGTGTAATCTTGGATCGACTTTATTATAAACCATGTAATAATTTGTGTGAATTTGATAAGCGTGCTTTGTGTGCAATTGTAACAATGACATCATGGGTGATTGTTAATATCCTTAAATAAATTTGTAGATACTTTTCTCTACATGTGTGCTTGTGTATATAGAACATGAATGTAGATAAAGGGGACTGAAAGAAGCTTCTTCAAATCGTAATGTACATCGATTGATCTTTGATTAATCTTAACCTGCAATTTATTGTCTAGCCCATGTTGCCATCTTTGTTTAGTTGCCTTTGCACTATATATTGTGAAAAATTGTACAGAGTTAGTTATCAACACCATAGTTATATTACCTACTAAAAAAAAATCATATATATATATATATATTATTTATCATCAGATGTGTGCACAATTGGCAGCAAACATTAAACATACAGTGCCCTATTATCTACCTGCAGGGATGATGACTATTTCTAGGGAAAACCTCACTTCTTTCCTCATTGTTTTACCTATAGTCAATATCTCCCTCTTTTTCTTTTCTTTTTTTCTTTTTCATTTTTACCCTAATTCAACACTCCTTTGGATACGTTCTCTTTTCCCTTTCAATCTACCCTTGGAAAATGCAATGGTGGATTAACATAACACTATATCGGGAAGAAAAGGATGCAAACAAGATAATAAACAACAACCAACATCCACGGACACATGTCCGGATCACTGTACAACAAGGGTAAACCCGGGATCGCTATATTTGGTATCAGTGTCTACATAACGAACTTGGTGAAGAGCTTCATAACAAGATCAAGTTCTATGTAAGTATATTTTTTTAGATTTTATCTCCTTTTGATAGGTCTATAACTACTAAATTTTTGTGGTATTTTTTGTTTTACTATTAGCTATCAAAAAACTCATATTCAAAGCCCATATACCTACAAACCGTTAACCCAAAATAGCTAGTTGAAGGCTCTTAGGGTGTTGGTCATTTAGGGACATGGTTTTAGGCACCTGAAGAAAAACAAGAAGGTTTTAAGTACTATTGATAGTCTAATATGGCAAAAGATATTCAAGAAAATATGAGATGTATAGCAATGCAAATAGGAGGGCTGGAATTCGAATTTGATCATAGTATGCACATAGATAAAAAGAAATAATAATAATCCATTTGCTCTAACCTCTACTATTAATGCTATGTGTAATTTATTTTCTTCCTGGTTTGAAAACATAAAAAAAAAAAAAAAAAAAAAAAAAAAAACATAATCATATGTATATATAAGAAATTTTAGATGTTTTGCATCAGACTTTAGTAAATATGAAACAAAATGTTAGAAATCTTGGTAATATAATTAATATAGATTTAAATGAAAAAATAAAAAAACAAATGGAAAATCTAATAATAAAAATAGATTTTCTAATTGAATGTAACGTTGGTTGGGATCCTCTTGAGTATACCTCAATACCTCGCCTAATTTTATGGAAATGATGAAATAAATGTTATTGAAAATTCAGTTTCTTTTTATAAAAAAGAAGAATGTGAAAATCTTGTTGCAGTCATCGAGTATTGGGAAAAACTTTACGTAGATCCAACATCAACTGTTGAAGAACGCAACAGGTTGATTACTCAAATTCAAAACTTATATTTAGAAAATGAAAATTTGTTTACTCATTTCGGGTATCAAGTTTCTATAGATGATGAATTTGATGATGATTCATTTTCTCATTTCATCAACGCAACCAACGTGGTGATAAAGAAGAACAGACTTCAGACTCTGAAATTTCTGATGAAGAAACCAAACCTGCAACTACATGTAAAGGTAAAAGAAAAATAGATGAACCATTAGATCCAGAAGAATTTGAAGCAAAACTAGAATTTCATGAGATCATGAAAACTACAGAACAAATGGTACCAGACACATCCACTAGTGAAATTAAACCTAGTGATCCTAAACCATCTTACCAAAGAAAAGATGATTTAAAAAAAAATCCAGTAACCCAATACGGTACTTATCTGGATTTAACACATGTTGCTTTTAAAGATCAATTAAAAACAATTGATGATTGGGCACAATCCATGTCTATTTTAATAACAAATTATAAGTCAACACGGACAAAAGAAAGATTTTTAGATTATATTGCAACAACTTTACAAGGAAATTGTTTGTAATGGCTAAGACAATGGGAAAAATCTGATTCTGAAAAAAAAAAAAAAAAAAAACCAAAAAACAACTCTTTTGTCGAATTTTTAAAGTTTTGATAAGATGTTAAGTGATTTTGTCATCATAATTAAAGAAAATATGTGTTGTTATTCAGGAGAAATTAATTTGAAGAAGATGCAAATTATGCTCTATCCAAACTGTTATTCAGGAGAAATTAATTTGAAGAAGATGCAAATTATGCTCTATCCAAACTAGAACTATGTAATATTTGTCAATTTGAAGAGTATGTGACATTATTCTAAAAATATTACTATGTTCTAGATCCTCCACAAAATACCTACTGGTTAGACCAGTTTTTTCATAAACTCCTAAACCCATGTGATGAATTAAGTTTTAAAAAATATCCTAAATTTTTAGGGAAATTAGGAAAAAGTGATCATCTTGGATTTAGGATAAACTTTGTCTTGAGACTAATAGCAAATTACTGCTTAACGGTACAAGCAAAGTGTTAGGTTTTATTTTTTGGCATTCCCGTTTGACAAAACTCCTTTCAGTTGTATTTATTTTCGCACTTTTTATTTCAGTGAGGCTATGAGTGTTTAGATGCGGATCCAACCCGAATTGTGCCATTCAGAGAAGTTTGTGATGCTAATGCTTTCAAGATTGCCACTTCGCTGATTATGACGGGGATCGAGCTGAATGCATTCAAAGTTGCCTGTCCGATCATGTTATATTTTTCCAGTTTTTCCATTTTTGGCCTTCCCGCTCGAGCGGGGAAAGTGACGCTCGAGCGGGGATTGGAAGCTCTCAGCATCTCTGCAGTCGCCTGTAAAAATACTGGAAGGTGTGATTTTACGCTCGAGCGGATTCTCCTACGCTCGGTAAAATATTTGTGAAGAAATCTTTAAAAAATTTAATAAATATTACAAAATAAAAAAAAATCAAGTAAAATTCAATTTTTTGTTGTTGTTGTTGTTGTATTTATTGAAATTTTTAAAATATTTTTTCACAAATATTTTACTTTTGGAATATATCTACATTATATGTATCTAAAAAAATTGACAAAATATTAAAGAAATTTACTAAAAAAAATATGAATTGAAAACTAAAAATTTGATTTTGGAAACTGAATAACCAAATAGAGTGGTGTTTTGGGAAATTGGTAAGAAGCTGATTTTTTGATTTTTTGACTTTTTTTGTGACTTTTTGACAAAAAATTGGATTATTTTAGATAAAAAAACTGACTTTTTTAGCTAAAAAGGTTGAAGAGCCAAAAAACTGACTTTTTTGGTATGTTGCCAAGAGACCCGAGAGTGAAGGCAATAATTTTCACCTCAAATCTCATGAGATTGAATTAATTAACCCCCATTTGATAGAGAGAGAGAGCGAGAGAGAAGTGGGTGTTGAAACCCAATTGATTATTAAACAAAAAAACACAATACAGAATCTCATAACAAAGCTTGACCTTGATATAAATTAATCATATTGAAATGGGTTGAAATAAACTCCAAACAATCTCCATCCCTCAATCACAAACAAAGCTTGACCTTGATAAAATCCAACACCTTTACCCACTCTACACATGCTCCGTTAAAAATACATTCATTCCGAAACTTCCAAAGAGACTAAAAAATAGCAATCAGGATTGAAAACCCATATCTAACCCACCTGATAATGATATTGTCTGTTTTTGTGATATTGTTTGATCAAATTTAGCTTTATTTTTGTGATATTGTTTTTCTATAGAATTGTTTTTGTGATCAATTTAATCAAACTTGATCAAACTTATACAAAACACAAATCATAATCTAAATTGTTAAACTTATAGAATTGTTAAATACTTTTGTGGCCAACACGCTATTGATCAAACTTATAGAATTGTTAAATTTTTTTGTCTCATAATCTTAGTACAAAACACAAATCAAAGAGATTAAACAATCTTAAAAAAACCATATGACATGCATGGAATTAGGTAGATGATTGAATCAAATTATCAACTAAGCAATGAAATGCACTGTTATCAACTAAGCAATGAATTAGTAGTGGAATTCACCAAATTATAGAAAGGAAATACGAATCATAATCAGAAAATTTTAACTAATTTAGAAAAGACAAAAATCGAGGAAATCTCGATATCATAACAATAGAGAGTTGAGTGAGTATACACATATTGACATGAATATTATTTAAAATAAAAGCTTAAAATGGGTCTATAGCTTAAAATACGATTTCAAGATTCTTATTCTAAACCGCAGAATCACAGTTATAGAGCGGAATCATCACCTCAATAGAAGATTCATGCAACTAAGATTTGCAGAGCAGATCAAACCTAAGAGCTAATATTAGGTGCTATCTTTGGGATGTCTACACAGAAGACCTTCATGTGTATGGTCACTTTGGTTTCAGTGGGCTTGGGTTTCAATTCTTGGATGAATGTTCAAAAGAAAATTGTAGATTCAAATTTCAAGCCAAATTCTGCAAATATCATTCACCAGTTTTAATTGTCCCATCCACATTCTCCTGAATAATAAAACAGTGAACTCTTTGAATGAATTGACCCTGACAATATTTCGAACTTTAGTTCAATAAGTTGAATAAATCCCTCGTAATCTTTCTGGAGATAATTAATTTTTTACAGTTGAGGTAAGGTTTTTTTTTATTTGTTTTTTTTAAAAAAGTATATCTTTACTTATGTCTAAACTAAGAAACAATCAATAATTCACATACTCTCAGATGAGTCTCAGATATTTGCTGAAACATGGATATGTTTGTTTTGATAGACAATGAATTAAGAAATGGAAAATTAACAGGGTGCAAACAGCCCCATGTCAATACTTTTCTGAAATCCTCATAGAAATACTTTTCCGTAAACAGCCCCATTTCAATTACTCATAGAAATCTTATTCAATACTTTTCTGAAATCCTCATAGGTTTAGTTGATGAAACCCACAAATATGAACCTAAAATCGAAACTTCTGCAATATCTGAATTTTAGGTTTTGTATAGATATTTTCCTTGATAGAAATTGCCGAATGTAATAGTGAAAAGAGTAACCTGGAACTGGGGAACTCGAAACACAAGGTTGCTACAAGCTAGACCCTCAAGAAAGAAGAGTTCCTGTATAACTGAAGCATGTGATGTATGAGATAGAGTAACACAATGAAACTACATAAATAAATAAATAATGTAATAATTTTGAGTTTCCTAATAAATATATGCATTTGCTCAAAAAATTCACGAAAACTTCACATTAAAAATAATATAAAAAAGCAATATGTTGAGCAACATCTTACATCTAAAAGTAATGAAATTTGAATTTCTATTTAATAAGCGAAAATTAATAGCAATTTTAGATCAATATAATAGTTCCTTTGCTTTTCCTTATGACTCAGTTCTTACTATAATGGCAATGACAAAATGAAAGTTGGCATTAACTGTAGCAAATTTCCTGCACTACTTTTTCATGAACATCTCTGATTTATAAATTCTTTGTATTATCATGTAGTTCAAGCCCGTACTATCACCAATTACCAAGTTCAATAAGATAGAGTTTACAAATCAGTGAACTGCCTAACTACCCTTCCTTCAATTAAGGGATCCTTATTTTTGAAAAAAGTTGGACAGATTGCCTCACTATAATAAGTCATCAATTGTAATTGCCAAACTTCACAAGCAGTATGTCATACAGCATGGGCTCGGTAGGAGAAAACTAAGCTTCAAAATAAAACCAGGAACAATGAAGGCCTGTTTATGGCAAATTCAACCAATAGATTGTAATGACAACAAAGCAGGTAAGCACTTCAAAAGAGAAAACAACACGTGTTACAACTTTGACTTGTTGATGAAACCCTCAAATATGAACCTAAAATCGAAATATAAACCCAATATAATCATTACAAAACCCATTATAATCATAATCGAAATATAAACCCATTACAAAGCCAAAATACAATTTTATAGAAATCAAAACCAAAATCGAACCCATCAACGAAATAGAAATATATAAACCTATCTTATTTGCAACTAATTTCATAAACCTATCATAAACCTATCATAAACTTATGAAAGAGCAGAGAAGAAACACATATGAAGAGTTGCTATCGTAAACCCACTTCAATGAAATCAAAATCCATCAATGAAACCGAAATCAAAATGGAACCGAAATAGAAAATCCATCAATGAAATCAAAATCCATCAATATTTACAGAAGAGTGAAAGAGCAGAGAAGAAACACATATGAAGAGTTGCTGGAGATTGCTAAAACCAGTGAGGAAAAAGCTAAAACAAACAAATCAGAATTTTTTGCTTCAGAATTTTGATAAGTAAATTTTTGCAGAGACAGAGTAAGTAAATTTTTTGCTTCAGAATTTTTTTTTTTTTTTTTTTTTGCTTCAAAAAAAACAAACTGAAGGTGGGGATGACGGGATGATGAACAAAAAAAAAACCAGAGGAGAGAAGAGTGCCTTACCTGGTGATGGTGGAGAAGAGAGCTTTCGATTGAGCTATGTTCTTCCTTCTTCAGAGCTTTCTTCCTTCGATTGAGCTCTCTTTCTTCAGATACATATCGATACATATGATACAAATGATGCCTTACCTGGTAAAATGCAGTGGGTTGGTGATAGTTGATAGGAATACAAATCTGGACCATTGGATTTTAGCCATGGACAAATCTAAACCATTGAAACTCTTTTCAATCTCAGCCATTGTTTTTAAATTGGATAAATCTCAACCATTAAAGATAATTTGTGAGAGAGACATTTTCAAAAATAAATCTGAGCCATTGCTTTTAAATCTAAACAGATCTGAACCATTGGTTTGAAATACATTTTCAAATTAATCCTTCCATTGTTATATAGATATCTATATATATCCAACAGCTTTAGCAAGCTACCAAACTAATTGTAAAGGAAAATGCTACATGTGAGAGGTTTGGTAATTTATTTGGTAATTTGTTTGGGATCCATAGCATAACTCAATTGTAAATACATTCTCACACACACACACAATCAATTCCCAACTAAACCTAATTCACATCTCCAAAACATCTCATTCAACTCTCTGTCTCCCTGTTGCTGCTCCTCACTTTGCCGATCACCTCCGCCGTTACTAGTGTTGTCAATCGCTGCCGTTGCCGCTAGTGTTGCCGATCGTCGCCATCACCACTTGCCCTACCGGTCACAGTCGATTGTCTCCTCTTAGATCGCCTCACCGCTCATCGATTTGGTAAGTTTCTTTTTCTTTCTCTTTGCCCTCTCCCTGTCTCTCTTTGCATTCTGCTATGCTACTTTGCTTTTGTCTCCCTCACTGAGTTCAATTCATCTTGTGGAGGACCGTCTCTGATTGTTTGAGGGCACTGTAATTGGTCGGTGCTGAAGCTTGAGGCTGATCACTGCTCCACACCAGGGGCTTGATGACTTGCTTCGAAGTTTACTTGATTTGGTGTTACTTGAAATAGCCTGGAATAAAAATAGATAAAGCTATCATAGTTGTAAAAAATCTGTTCTTTATAAGTTGAAGATGCTTTGAAGTTTATCTTAAAATATTTGTAGGGAGTTGTAAAAAATATTTGATTTGGTCAATTTCCTCAAAGTTACCATAAACTAGTTCATATTACATTCATGGTGGGCAAACTAAATTTAATATTGCTGAAAATTAATTTGAAATATTATATGCTTTCTCAGTTTTAAATATTTAAAATATTTTTACTTATCATTATTATGAATTTTTTATTTTGTAATAGATAATGGATGAGGAAATATTATTTTGTTGTATCGGTGATTTTTTTTAATAATTTTGATGATGGTTTATTAATCAGTCAATGTTTAATGTTAGATTAGATGAATGAATATCTATTTTAATTTTGACTATTTTAGTTAATTTATAAATTAGATCTTTTTACTTTTTTATTCAAGTTTTGTAATTTGAATTATGTTTTTTTATAAACTACTAATTCGTCGAAACCGTCAAATCGAAACCGTCATTATTTACTAATTGAACGTCGACTTTTGATAAGAAAAATGATAATTTCAAATGATATTTTTATTCATCCATCACCCGCATTACAATTTCTATTTTTCTCCTAAATCGCACCTAGACTTTTTGTATTCTAACTTCATAGACTTTTTTGAAGAAGCAATGAAGTCTACTGTTAGACTTGAAGACTCAGGGCTTGTTTGGTTTGTTTTTCAGAAAAATTTTTTGAGAAAAATTCTCTACAAACAAAGTTTCAAGAATAATCAAACCAAACAAATTTTTCGAAAAAAAATCTCAAAATTTTGTTTGGTTACCTACTTTCCAAAATCACTTTTTCTTTCATACACATTAAATCAATCACTTTTTTTAAAACTTTCTTTCCAAAACAATTTTTGAAAAAAGTCCAACCAAACAAGTTTTCGTACTTTTTATCTCAAAAATTACTCTACAAACACAAACTAAACACACCCTTAGTTTTTAACTTTTGTTTGTATGTACAAGTTGTATTATATAAATTGGCCTAGAGCCAACAAATGGATCATTGTAAATTCTCAGAAGCTCTCTCATCTTTTGCTTACATCTCATATTTCTACTTCTGCAATTAGTTGTTAGTGAGAAAATATATTTACTAAGTATTTTGGTATCAAATTTTCAAGAATAATCAAACCAAACAAATTTTTTCAAAAAAAATCTCAAAATTTTGTTTAGTTACCTACTTTCCAAAATCATTTTTTCTCTTATACACATTAAATCAATCACTTTTTTTAAAACTCTCTTTCCAAAACAATTTTTCAAAACCATTTTTGAAAAAAGTCCAACCAAACAAGTTTTCGTACTTTTTATCTCAAAAATTACTCTACAAACACAAACCAAACACATCCTTAGTTTTTAACTTTTGTTTGTATGTACAAGTTGTATTATATAAATTGGCCTAGAGCCAACAAATGGATCATTGTAAATTCTTAGAAGCTCTCTCATCTTTTGCTTACATCTCATATTTCTACTTCCGCAATTAGTTGTTAGTGAGAAAATATATTTACCAAGTATTTTGGTGTAACGCCCTAAAAAATAACAACATTAAACCCATCAGATAAGACATGCATTTACATATAAACTAACCACATTCTTTTATTCATTAGAGTTCCATTACATAAGTATTACATGTTAGATTATTAATCCAATGGATATTAATCCAATTGGATAGTGAATACCACACTAATTTAATAGGATTATTAATACTTCACTATTAATCTTGTGAATCAAACATGACCTTAGGGTATTAGTCATTTAGGGACATGGTTTTAGGCACCTGAAGAAAAACAAGAAGGTTTTAAGTACTATTGATAGTCCAATATGGCAAAAGATATTCAAGAAAATATGAGATGTATAGCAATGCAAATAGGAAGGCTGGAATTCGAATTTGATCATAGTATGCACATAGATAAAAAGAAATAATAATAATCCATTTGCTCTAACCTCTACTATTAATGCTATGTGTAATTTATTTTCTTCCTGGTTTGAAAACATAGAAAAAAAAGCAAAAACATAATCATATGTATATATAAGAAATTTTAGATGTTTTGCATCAGACTTTAGTAAATGTGGAACAAAATGTTAGAAATCTTGGTAATATAATTAATATAGATTTAAATGAAAAAATAAAAAAACAAATGGAAAATCTAATAATAAAAATAGATTTTCTAATTGAATGTAACGTTGGTTGGGATCCTCTTGAGTATACCTCAATACCTCGCCTATTTTTATGGAAATGATGAAATAAATGTTATTGAAAATTCAGTTTCTTTTTATAAAAAAGAAGAATGTGAAAATCTTGTTGCAGTCATCGAGTATTGGGAAAAACTTTACGTAGATCCAACATCAACTGTTGAAGAACGCAACAGGTTGATTACTCAAATTCAAAACTTATATTTAGAAAATGAAAATTTGTTTACTCATTTCGGGTATCAAGTTTCTATAGATGATGAATTTGATGATGATTCATTTTCTCATTTCATCAACGCAACCAACGTGGTGATAAAGAAGAACAGACTTCAGACTCTGAAATTTCTGATGAAGAAACCAAACCTGCAACTACATGTAAAGGTAAAAGAAAAATAGATGAACCATTAGATCCAGAAGAATTTGAAGCAAAACTAGAATTTCATGAGATCATGAAAACTACAGAACAAATGGTACCAGACACATCCACTAGTGAAATTAAACCTAGTGATCCTAAACCATCTTACCAAAGAAAAGATGATTTAAAAAAAAATCCAGTAACCCAATACGGTACTTATCTGGATTTAACACATGTTGCTTTTAAAGATCAATTAAAAACAATTGATGATTGGGCACAATCCATGTCTATTTTAATAACAAATTATAAGTCAACACGGACAAAAGAAAGATTTTTAGATTATATTGCAACAACTTTACAAGGAAATTGTTTGTAATGGCTAAGACAATGGGAAAAATCTGATTCTGAAAAAAAAAAAAAAAAAACCAAAAAACAACTCTTTTGTCGAATTTTTAAAGTTTTGATAAGATGTTGAGTGATTTTGTCATCATAATTAAAGAAAATATGTGTTGTTATTCAGGAGAAATTAATTTGAAGAAGATGCAAATTATGCTCTATCCAAACTAGAACTATGTAATATTTGTCAATTTGAAGAGTATGTGACATTATTCTAAAAATATTACTATGTTCTAGATCCTCCACAAAATACCTACTGGTTAGATTTTTTATCACAGTTGGAGGTGTCCAATTGTGGTTTTTTCCACGTTAAATCGCTGTGTCTCTTTGTCTTGATTGTTTGATTGTTTGATTGGGATTGTTATATTCTGCTTAAAATTGATACATAATCACAAATCAACATCTAGGGGATTTCTAGATTTTTCACAAAGAAACAAGTGAAAAATCAAATCACCAATTCCACAAAAGGAAAAAATTGTTGTGACCAAATTTTATGAGAATTGAAAAATTGGTTGCACACCTTCTTATAAAAGAAAGAGTAAAATTAAGAAAAAAAAATTTAAGTGGAAACCTTGAAAAAAGATTTTTTTTTTTCTAAACATAAAAAATATGTTAAGAAAAAAAAAACTACTTCAAAAGCATCTAACAAGAAAAAATCTTGTAAATGTTATATTTGTCATGAAGAAACAAGACTTTGAAATTTGTTTTGGTGAAGAAATTTCGGATACAGAAGAAATACTTTATGAAATTTCAAGTGAATAATATTCATCAGGTGAATATGAAGAATACATCTTTATGATGAATACAATTATAGAAAATTCTAAGAAGGAATCAGAAACCCTTCGACTAGGAGATTATATCGGAGAAGAAATTTATCTTTTTCAAAGAACAATTGGTCAGGTATGAAAAACTTCAACGAATTCGAAAAGAAGAAATTTATAAAATTTTAAAATTCAAACCTTGGCCAGTAAGAATATTGAGCAACATGCTGGAAACACCAGGGCTCAATTTACCGATGAAGGAAATGTCGATATAACCTTATTCGACAAAAAGAAAATTGCTAGATGGAAAAAGAATAATCCTGAATTAAGATATATTCATGTAGGATTAATTCAAGTAAAAATCATTGCTTTGTTTAGACAAGGTACTGATGCACCCATATTAGCAGTCTTACAAGATAAAAGATTTCATGATCCAATAAGAGCCATTATTGGAGGAGTACAATCTAATTTAGTAAATGAAATAGTTTGGTTTAATATAAAACCAAATTTCTTTATGTCAATAGATGATCCGAATATAGAAGATATTGTTAAGATTTGTCTAAAAACACAAAATATAGGAATGAAAAAAGATTTCTATGATCTTGCAATTCAATGGAAAACTATTCATAAATTAACAAGGCTACTTGAAACATCAATTAAACCAATTGATACAAAAATAGTTGACATGTGGGAACCCAAACCATATGAGACAACAATTCAACCAAAGCTTATAAATTGGTCAGATTTAGAAATTCCAAGAAACTGGTTAATTTATGAATTAACAGAAGAAAGAGCAAGAAAATCTGCTAGTAATGTCGAAATACAGGCATCTAGTGGTAATCTGTATATAACAAACAACTGATTAAAACGAGTACAAATTTTATCAGCAGACTGGAAAAAATTCAATAAACTAAAAATTGCACACGATATTAATAGCAGTAGTTTTCAAGAAGAACCTATTGGAATTAAGACAGTGCAAGTTCCTATCATGCCAGGAACATATCATAGATTTGAAGAACAAAAAATGTTTCGAATCTACCATTATCAAACAAACAAAACAGGATGAAGTAATTTTTGTCCCCAACCAAGGAAAGAGAAAATATATTTATGTTTTGGGAACTTTAATTTTAAAGGCTATAAACCATATAGTCTTAGTGTTCTACTTGACACTGGCGCCACAATAAGCACATGTAGAATGACTGCTATACCTGAGGACAAATAGATTTTAATGAAACATCCCATCTTAGTTAAAGGTGTTAGTGGAACAGACACCTCTATAATTCTAAAAGCAAAAAATATAACTGTTTGGTTTAATAATAACAAATTTGTTATTCCAAAAGTTTTATGCTTCCCAAATATGCATAGAGATTTTATTCTTGGAAATAATTTTTTGTTTGGATATTTACCAATCAAGCTTGCTGAAAAAACAATCAGTTTAGCTCTTAACCAGCAATTGGTAACAATTTCTTTGTTGGAACAACATCATTATATATGTGATCAAGAGTTCACGCCAACTAAGCGTGGTGACTTAACACCATATAAAAATACTCTTGATGAATCTCATTGGATTTATATAATTTTAATTGAAAATTTTAGTGACAATCTTTTGAAACTATGGTATCGTACTCCACGAAATTGTAGTTTAAAATTAAAAATTCCTAATATAATAATTATGAATTCAAAATTCAAATTAATGAACTTCTTGAGAAAAATCTCATTGAAGTAACCACTAGTCCTTATTCATGCCCTGCATTTATGGTTAGAAATTATGCATAAATTAAAAGAGAAAAAGCTGGAATGGTAATTAACTATAAAAGGCTTAATGAACATATAGAATTTGATGGTTATTATATCCCAAGAAAGGACATTTTGATAAACTTAACTCAAGGGTTAAAAGTCTTTAGTAAATTTGATTGTAAGTCGAGATATTGGCAATTACAATTAACAGAAGAGTCAAAACCATTGTCTGCCTTCAGTACTCCAAGAGGACATTATCACTGGAATGTTATGTCATTTGGATTAAATATTGCACCATGAATCTTTCAAAGATGGATGGATTCTATTTTTAATAAACTTAAATATTTTTGTATAGTATATCTAGATGACATTCTTATTTTTTCTAAATCAATGGAAAAACACAAGAATCATCTTGGACAATTATGCAATAAATTCCAAAAATATAGAATTATTCTCTCTCCTAAAAAGATAGAGGTAGAGAAAGAAGAAATAGAGTTCTTAGGATTAATCCTTACATCAATAGGATTAAAACTACAAGAACATATTATTTCAAAAGTAAAAGAATTTTCAGATGAATTAACTGAAGTAAAACAATTTCAAAGTTTTTTAGGAATTCTTAATTATGGGAGGAATTACGTCAAAAATCTAGCAAAATTAGAGCTTCCTTATTAGTAAAATTAAAGAAAAATGTATAATTTTGCTGGTCAAAAGAGATACTAATATAATTAAACAAATTAAAGAAAGTATTACAGTCATACCTACAATTTATTTACCTAAAAAAGAGGCAAACTTATTTTTGAAACGGATGCCTTAGATTTATGTTAGGGATGTGTATTAAAAGCAATACCTTCTCAATTCTGGACCGAGTCCGAAGAAACAAATAGTTATGGAATTAAAAATAGGAAAAAAACCTATTTCCATAAAAACTCAGAAACATGAATTAATTTGTAGATATAATTCTGGCAAATTTAAACCTGTTGAAACAAGATATATTATTTTTGAAAAAGAACTTTTAGCCATAAAACTTGTTTTAAAAAGATTCCACATATATCTTGCTCTTGAATGCTTTATTGTTAATAAGAAAAATATTGAAGAAGGCCGCCGACTTCGATGGTATAATGAAATTGCTACATATGCTTTTGAAGTTGAACATTTGAAAGGAATTAATAATTTTCTTGCAAATTTTTTAAGCTACAATCACTAAACTAGTGTTTTCTCTTTTCAGCCATGAACACAGGTGCCTATTGAGTTCGATAAAGAATGTATGACAATTGCCAAAAAAGCAATCCCCAAGACAGAAAAAGTTTATGTTGTTTTTTCAGGTAGACAACTTGGAATTTAAACAAATTGGAAAGATTGCAATACTCAAGTTGTGGGATTTCCTAAAGCTTGCTATCAAGCATATGACAACCAAAAGCTAAAAAAGCTTTCTATAGTGCTCCATCAATGCCTATTTTTTAGCAGCAGCAAACTAATCCAATCCCCTTTGAATTTTAGAAATCTAATGTGATGACCGGGTGTAGCATTAGTTTCGTTCTTCCTTAGTTTAACCTTGGGTGATCTTGTCGGGGTGTCGGGTTGACTTGGAGTCTTGTTAATCGTTTGGGTTTGTGGTGTCCGAGAGTCCCTCTCACATAAATTCTCATTCTTGTTTCTTTGGTGATTGATTTTCACTTGTCCGGGAGAGTGCGAGGTCAGGTCCGGAGTGCCCGGGGGTCGAACCAGAAAATTCTGGGCTACTGGGCCAGGGCCGTACGTGCGGGGCCCTAGGTCGCACGTGCGGGGTGGGGCCGCACGTGTGGGGAAGGATGAGTTTCAGTGGGCTGCACACTGCATAAATTGCAGGTGCGGAGGGGGAGGTGTGGAGGGAGCCGCACGTGCGGGAGTCATAGTCGCACTCACGTGTGGTCGGCCTGAGTTTGAATTTCTGCATTTTTTTATCCCTTTTGGCCGAGTTGTATCACATTTGGGGACCTCTCTCTCACTCTAAACGTCATTTTACTCCATCTCCCCTCTAAAAACCTTCACCAAACCACCCAAAAACCTTGATCTCTTGAAATCCATGGAGCTTTGATTTATCTTCTTCCACAAATCTTGGAGAGCAATACTAGAACCACACCTTGTATGGTGGAGATTGAGTTTGGGGCATTTTGATTTTCTAGGGTTTCATCTTCCCCTCTTCATCAAAACTTGAGGTAGGGAATCACTTTGAGTTACATATACATTTTGTAAGCTTTTGATTTATTATTTTTGAGAACTCTTCCTTGATTGATTTCGAAAATGGGTTTTGATTTAAGAAATTGGGGATGTTGTGGAAGAAGCTCATCTTTTATTCTTTTAAAGGACTTTTTTTGAAATATTGGACACATGGGTTGAGATTGAGGTGCATAATGGGGTTTTACAAAAGAGATGGAAAATGTCAGGGCTTTTGTGAAAACCTAGAAATTGGGGGGTTTCCTTTGAAAAATGCGAGTATTCTATATTGATTGCTTGTAAGTATAATGACCCCTTGAAGTATGAGAAATTGAGGACTATATTTGAACTTGTTAACAAATGCTTATACATGCATGGTGATGGGTTAATCCATTTGTTGAGTTCCATGAACTATGAACATTGAAATCTTTAATGTTCAAGGATATTGCAAAAGGCCTTGGAATGGCTAAGGTATTGAGGATGGTACAAAATATGGATGGTTGTCATATGTTGTTGCATTTAATTGAACTTGTAGTATTTTGTTGATTTATGTTAAGAGGAAAATGGGTTTTGTGGTTGTCATTGTAGCATTAATGGGATACTTAAAAATGGAAGGATGTTATGAAATTTTGAGCATCATTTGCATTATACATTCTCTCAATTGATTATATTGCATCTTAAATTGAGTTAGAACGTTACATTGAGAAAAGAATATTGTGATGTGAAAACTATTGAAATGTTATGGGGGTAAATACGTTGGTAAGTCCGGTTAGGAGGTGTAGATGAATTTGATAGGTTGGCCTGAGTGTCCGGAGTGAAAGACTGAAAACACACGCGGAGGAGGTACCACTTCCCTTCCGGTTAGCAACCGGTAAAGTGGGGTTATTGGTAGTACTTGTTGAGCCTACTTGCAGACACCAACCTAGGGATTACCTGAGTCATATTTACCACCCCTATTGTTTAAAAATTGAAAGTTTGAAATTGTTGAGATTGTAAACTGCTGTTGGAACATGGTAATTTTTGAGAAGAGCACGAAATGAATTCTTTTCCTTAAAATGGCATTGCATGGCATTGCATTTGCATTTAATATTGGAAATCTTGCATAAATATATATATATACTTTGTTAAGGGTTCTCTACTGGGCTTTATGCTCACCCCTATGGGATTTTGGTGCAGGTAAAGATGTGGCAATCCCGCTGAGTTGAGGGCGTAGGTATATTTTATGAAGAGTAGAATACTCTATTTTTGTTGTGGATTTAAATGCTAGCCAATGGTTGTTCATGTATGGGCCCGAGAGGCCATTTTTGTATGACCGGGCTTAAGCCTCGGAAAATGTAAGCCCTTAGGGGCATTTTATTTCTTTTGGATTTTAATGCTCTAAATGCTATAGATTCATGTATTTCTAAATCATTGAATGTATAATTTGCATGTGGAACTTTTGTATAAACTTGGAGATTTATGATGTAAAGGTTGGAGAATGGTTATATTTATTTAGTGGATGTTGGTTAATGTATGTAATTAATGAGGGAATATTTCGGGGCGTTACATCTAAACTAGATGAATCTGAACTTGAAGACTTTTAATCTTGGTATTCCCAGAAAAATTTATAATTAATTAAATGGTGTGCGGAAAACCCAAATTTTCGAAAACAAAATTTTTTTTAGATTACATATGTCTAACTTATCTTTCAATTAGCGGAACAAACCATTAAAATAAATGAGTTACAAAAACTTTGTTTCCAACTTATTAAACAAATGAATTGGGATCAAGATTTTAGATTTGAAAAAAAAATACTTTTCTTCAAATTTCTGAATTCATAAACCATGAATATTCAGATCCTTCTTTTGAAACAATTAGTAGAATTTGTCTTTTTGAAAAAGTAAGAACAACTCTTTCCTGTGAAATTTTTAGACTCATTAAAGATAAAGTAGAAGACTATTGTGAAAGAATTAAACAAATTCTTTTCAAATCAATTAATAAGATTAATATACAAGATGATATTTCAAAAACTACATTATTTTTAGATACCCAAGAATTAGGGTGTTCGCGATTCAGTTGCGGTTGGGGAACCTCCAATCCGCCATCCTTCCGCCGGATTGGCGGGTTGAAAAACTCAATCTGCATCCGTCCACCGGATTGACAGACGTGGCTTGAGCGGTTTAGCGGATTGGCGGATGGGTGATAATCGGTTTGGCGGTTTAAAATTTTACAAATTTTAAACATAATACAACAATTTGTCAACATTTTTTTTTAGATAACAATCCAACTCAACATAACCAAAAGATTATCAAGTAAATTGTCAAATACCAATAATAAATACATATAAGAAAATCATGCATTATCAAAACTATTTCATTACTTTTTTTTATTCAAAAACTATTTAATTTGATTTTGTTTTAAATGATAAAATAAAGCCTTATGTTTTCCATACAAAAATGCAAAATATCAACACTTGCCATTTAATAAAAGAATTTTCAAATTGAAAACATAACAAAATATCTAAATTCTTTTTTAATTGAAAACACAAACAGAATATCGAAACATATTAAATACACAAAGTCTTACAAATTACTAATAGTGCTCACGGTTTGGCAGTTCGGTTGCAGTCGAAGGAATCTCAAATCCGCCATCCTTCAAAACTAGGTGGATTGAAAAAAATCAATCTGCAACCGTACACTCGTCATCACACATTCGTCTAAAATGCGATGGATTGGTTAGGTTCGGTCGGTTTTGGCGGATTAAAATATCCGCTGCTCACCTCTAGTTTTTGGGATAAATTACACTTTTAACTCTTATAATTTGATCCAAATTTCATATCAGTTCTTATTATTTCAATTTGAACAATTTTTTTTTTTTTTTAAAGTTTAGTTTCAATTAATTTGGTGTCTCCATTTAACTTAAACGTTAATATTAGAAATTTTATTACACGTGTCACTCTCCTAAGCCATACACGTAGAAGAAATTGATAATTATTTAAACAAAATCATCAAATTAAAACATAGACTTAAAATATTCAGCTCGTTCCTTCTTGTTGATGAGCCAGGCTCACTGCTGCTCTGCATCTGAAAATCGGGTGATATTGGCTTGAAGTGGGCTGGAACTTACAGCAATTATTTGCTTGAAATGGGCTGGGTTTATAGAGGCTTTGTTGGGTGTATTTTCATTTTGATTATTTATTTTATTCTTCTTGCTTCTTGTCTTTGTTTGGCTTCTCATCAAATTTGGCGTGGTGCTAGTATATGATTGAGCATACATATTGGTGTCAACATAGTTAGGATGATTATATTATGCTATGATACTTGTCGTACTTGTGCCTCCCCTCCCCCACTCTTTTATTGATGTTTTTGTCATATGTAATTGTATGCTTGCGATTCATCAATAAATTTCTTCTATGTTACTAATAGGATTGTAATTGAACACAACCAATTTAAGCATTAAATTGTTCAAAATTTGACTTATTGAAAATTAGTCAAGCTTCAGCTTACATCAAGTTTAAAGAATCAAATTTGAGCTTGACTTGTAAAATATTTGAAAAACTCGAGCTCAATTTCAGTAAACTCAAACTAAACTTAAATTATTCATGAACAATTTGATTATTATATATATATTTTTAGCTCATTTATATATTTATATTTAAAAAAATTTCAGGGCGGCAAAAGATCATGTTAGGTGCTATAGTGAACTTGACTGAAACAAACTGAAACAATTTGAACATTCCCACACATTTTGGCATCGATTTGCCGAAGATGAGACCACATCACTATACCTTCCAAATCCTATGATGTAAACTTTTGAGAAGGGGTATGCATATCTGCCAAAATTTTTACAATTAACCAATCTATATGTTTTGTACCCAATCCTTATGTTGTGTTTGGTTGGGGGATTTGAGGAGAGTTTGAAAAGGAAAATGGAAAACTCTCTCTACAATTGTTCATGCTCACTTTTTCTTTATCACTTTCTCTCTCTACAATTGTTCATGGGTAGCGGCACCACCGACCTCCATTGTCGGCAACATTGCAACACCAATTCCAGTGCTTCGCACAGAGAGCATGTTTGCAGAAACCACTACCATAACAGTGCCCCCAAGATCCTCAACTTCTCGGACAACACAACCTATTATGCCATTGGTGTTCGCAGCTAGGAAAAGGTTTGATACACTGTCATTTATGAGGACTGTTCCGGTTGTATTTTGTGGATTACATTTTATACTGATTGCCAGGGACCTCTGGTGGATTTGTTGACATATAGAGGTGCAATGAAGAAGAAAGACCATTGTAATTCTCAACTCTGTACTGCGTTTAGATAGATAATACCAGAAGTTTTATTTCACATCCACTTTTCTTTTCTTCAACACTGTTTGGAACTAAATCATCTTAGATGTGAGATTTCAAAATGAAAAAAGACAAGGGGTATGTTTGGTTTGCATTTCAGAGATGAGTTTTAGAAAAAAAAATTTCAAAAATTGTTTGGTTTGAGTTTTTCTCAAAAAAATTTCAAAATCACTTTCTCTCTCTTACACATCAAGCAATCACTTTTTCTCTCATACACATCTACTCAAATTCTTCCAAAATATCAAATCATTCCAAGCTCCAAAAAAAACAACTCTCCCAAAATATACAACCAAACAAACCAAAAAAATTTCTAAAACAACTCTCCCAAAAACAAATCAAATATTTTTGTTAAAGGAAAATCTTCACATTCTTTCCGCAGATCTAAGGTAGTGCTCATGACGAGATCATTAAGGTGTTTTATTGTCCGTTCTAAATGAGATACTATAATATGAAAATTTGCATCGATTCCTTAATATAAGTCCCATTTAAATTAAGATTCGCACAAAAAAAAAAAAAAAGTCAAATCCACACCAATTTATTACATAGCCTCACCTTAAAACTCTCTCCCAAGCCAACTGCGCTACCGCCTAAGGTTACTACTGCACACTTCATTTCCACCAAAAGCAACACCACTCTTCCTTTCAACAAACCACATAAACCAATGCCAAGACCCACGCCTGAAGTACACTGTTTCATAGCATAAAAAACGTGTCGCACGCGTGTGGAGCACTGCCACCACGTTGCTCTGCTCTGCTGATCCAGCAAAGAACCACCAACACAACACAATGTAGGAGTAAATTGCATATAAGAGGTTTATGATACTCTTTTTTATTGGGTTTATTAATTAAAATATTTTTTTTAATTTTATTTAATAAAAATAGATAATGATTTTTTTTTTGAACCAAAAACGTAAGTAATGATTTAAATTGAAAAAAACACAAAAGATTATAATTAAATTCATAAAATTAAAAAAAATTAAGATTTATTTTATTATAAAAGTAAAACATTGAATTTTTTTTTTCTTTTAGTAATTTTTCAACTTAAAATTTTGAAGAGTTAAGCAAACCAGTGAATGGTATTGAAATTTTGTATAATGGATACATCATGCTAATTTACATCTTACACAAAATGTCATCTTAATCTCACGACTTAAGATGTTTGGATTGGATTTCCAAAAATCTTGACCCGTTAATTTAATTAAAATTTTATGGAAATATATTGTTTTTGCTTATTTATTTATCATTAATCTGTAATTTTTTCTTGAGCAAAGTTTTTTTCTAGTCCACTTTGTGGACTGGATGATACTGATAGGCCTATAGAACCCACCATATGTCTTATTTTAATGATCCGAACTGCTTAATCTGTAGAACTTGTCGAGCACTTCATCTTACAAAAAATATATTGATCAATATCGATAGCCCTTTGATCAAAATATATTTTTGTCAATAATTTATTTTTTAAATTATATTTACTGTTGACAAAAATAGGATTCATGTAGCCGACCCCATTTGATGGGACTTAAGTCTTGGTTTGGTTTGATTTGGTTATTTACTATTGACAAAAATATGATTGGATTGAGAGGTTATCGATAATTGATTAATGTAATATTTTGTATAGATGAAATATTCGTTAAATTTTATATATTAAAAAATTTAAATTTTACCTTATGGACCTAACTATACTGTCCAGTTGTCTGCTTTTTTTTTTTTTTTCTTTTTCTTTTTCTTTACCTTTTCAACTGATATGTTATTTCTCATTAGAAAAAGATTGAACGTTCTAAATTAAGAGCTCTAATTAGTGTGTTTGGTTTCAGTTTTTTGAATTTAATTTTTTGAAATTAAATTTTTTATTTTTCGTGCTTTTTTTTGTTTTTAGTGAATATTTTTAAAGTTTTAAGTAATTTTTTTACTTTTTTAGATGCACATTACTTAGATGTATCTAAATAGTAAAATATTTATAAAAAAATATTTTAAAAAATTAATAAATATACAAAAATATGAAAATATACTGAATTTTTTTAATTTTTGGTATTTAGTGTAATTTTTAAAGATTTTTTTCACAAATACTATACTTTTTAAGTGTATTTATGTTAGGTGTGTCTAAAAATAAAAAAAAATGCTTAAAATATTAAAAAAATTTATCGAAAACATTAAAATACAAAAAATAAAAAAATAAAATTTTTTAAAAATTAGTTTTTAAAAACTGAAACCAAATTTTAATTGGTGTGTAGATCCCATGTAATATATATTTTTTAATATTCAATATTACTTGTACTTTTTTAAAACTCACAAATTAAACAGCTGCATCATTTCTGTTCTCATTAATGAATGGTCCAAAAGCAAAAGCAAAAGTAAAAACCAAAGCAAAAGCAAAAGCAAAGTCGGCCACTCCCATCACATGGGCTGTAAAGCAAAAGCAAAGTCGGCTACTCCCTTCACATGGGCTGTTGGCCTTGGATTGGGGTTTCAAATGAACATAATTGCCTGTAAATAGGCTTGAAAGTTTGAAAAGGGTTGGTTTAAGTTCAACTCATTTGTTAAATTTTTATTGTACTTTAATTTGTTAAAATTTTAATAAATAAATTGAAATAATTAAAGTTTAGCTCGTTAGTTTGGCCTATTAGTTGACTCGTTTAATATTTATTATTTAAATAATAAAATAAATATATTATTTATATATTAAATAATATAAAAAATATATTTAAAAATAGAGGTAATTACTGGTTCAATGGTAAAATCTTAACCTAATAAATTTGAAGTTATGAGTTTAAGTTTTGTGACAACTATTTTGTGCACTATGTCAAAGATTAGGTGCGTATCTAATTTTTTCCCTCTCCAAACACACATAAATTTGTACTAATTTGGTGATATTTTATATATTTAAATAATATAAATGTAAACAATAACTAACTATAGATAATATATTTATATAATAGTAGTGGTAGATATTATTATTTTGATAATATAGTGACTTTTTTTTTTAGTATGTTTATATGTATTGTATATATAATTGTATAATTAAATTTTTAATTGTAACTTTAATCTTATACTCAAGTATGAATTTATTATTTTTTTGGCTCGTTAAGGCTTATGAATAGACTCCAACTTGAGTAAAGTCTAACTCAACTCAGCTCAAGCTTGTTAAAATCTTAATGATGAAGTCTAAACATACTAAAATTTGATTCGGCTCGTTTGTAGTATTTGTTGGGGTCCATCGAAGTACAAATGCCCTTCCTTTAAATGACAAGTATTTTTGTTTTATTTTTTCTTTCATAATTCAATTAACTTTTAGCTTTAAAAAAATAAAAGCTAACTTTGAATAATAAAGTATAAATAAAAGTTATATCAAACAATGTAATATAGTCTCTTACAATATAAATGTATACATAAATATAAACAACTAAAAAATATTACACCAAATAATCCAAATTATAAATAAATGTGAAAGTTAAATGGTGCATCTATAATTTTGTCCATGTACGATTTACTCATCTTACATTTGAAAATAAACACACAACTTTAGTGATTTTTCTCACAGCTATTTATTGGCTAAAAAACTCATTTTACTCAAAAAAAAAAAACATAACTCATTTGAATTATATATTTCCCATTAAAAAACTCATCTTAGCCATTATAAAGGCAATTAGAAAATTAAAACCACCCCCCTTCCCAAAAAAACAAAACAAAACAAAACAAAAACAATAAGCTTCAATTGGATTGTGTTGTTTGGGTTATGGGGATTTGTCACGTCTCAATGATTTGAATGGTTTACTTTTTAAATTATAATATATAAATTATTTATAAAAAAATTAAATCGATCTGATAATTATAACTATATTAGTTTATAACAAAAATAAACGACAAATAATATTTAAAAACTTGATCATATATTTTTTAGAAAACAAATATAATAAACTAATGTGCCTATAGTTATTGGATTGACTTGATTTTTTATTTTTTATTTTTTTTTTATTTTTTATGAATGATCTATATATTGTAGTCTAAAAAACAAATGGTTCAAATCATTTAAACGAAATCCTGATAGACTCCACGAACAAAAACAATACGATCGAATCCAGAAGCTAACCCCAAACTATAATGTGCCTGTTTGGCAGAGCTTAATTACAGTTTATTTCAGCTTTCAGCTTAATTTAAGTTATTTTGATGTGTTTAGTTTAGCTTATAGCTTATAGCTCATAACTTTTTGGAAGTTAGAAATCAGCTTATTCTTTGAGTGGGGCAGGAGATGCTTTAAGAATAAGCTGGAAATCAGCTTAAGCTGAAAGTTATAAGCTATAAGCTGTTAAGGCATAAGCTATAAGTACTTTCCCACAGCTCTACCAAACAGGGCCAATATGTCAAAACATACTAATTATTTTAGTATTGATTTTTTTTATAGGCTTTAATTTTTAGCTAGTAAATTAACTTTTTAGTTAACTCTTAAAAAAAACTTTAAAAAGTCACAATATTTTCCACATTTTTAAGGCAAGATGCAGTTTATTCTTTGTGCTTTATTTTATGTATCTCTCATGTGATTTGAAAAAAATACAGTTATTCTTTGTGCTTTATTTTATGTATCTCTCATGTGATTTGAAAAAAATACAGTTAATTCTACACTTTTGACATAATTATATTAATTTTTTACAAAATTTTAATTCACATAACACTTAAGTTATTTTTCATCAATAACTTTTTCATCATATAAAAAAAAAATGATAGTATAATTTCTTTCATACTAAAATATTTAATTACCATTATTTATTTCAGTGTCTAACTATTATTGATATTAATTTTAATAGTTTTAACCATACTAAAAAATAAATTAATATAATTATGTCAAAATATAAGATTAATCGTATTATCTCAAAAGGGCAAACCTCTTTCGAGTATAATTAGTCTGCATCAACATTTAAGAGTTCATTGTTTGGCTTTTGATACTCTCCTTCTATTCGATTATCTCAAAAGCTTTACTCTTCACTACCGGCGAATGATTATGCAGTGCATTTTTTATCTGTAAGAGACGGAACAAAATCTCAAAGGTTTTTCTTTCTTCATTTCCTCCTTCAATTAATCACATATTATTCTGTGTTCAATTTGCTATAATTTTACTTTCTTCCTTCAATTTTATTCTGTGTTCTAGTGTTGCTTACCAGAAGAAAAAAAAAAACTCTGTATCCCTTTTTGATTTTAGAGAGCTTGTTATTTCTCCACTTCAACTCTATTAGAACAATATTCTGTTGTGTGTTCTGTTTTCATTTTACAAAGCTCCCTTTCTTGGTTTCTATTTCTGTTATAGTACAAAAGCTCCCCTTTCTAGTCCCATTATATTACAATATAATTCTCCATATTCAACCCTGCTTGTCAATAAAATAAAAAATTTGTATTCCCTTTTCAAGTTTCATCCAAGTGTTTCTTTCTTGTCTTCATATCCTCTGCAAAATAGTATTACTCTCTGTGTTCTATTTTGATTTGCAAAGCTCAGTTTCCTCATTTCCATTTTGATTGTAGTACAAATCCCCTTTTTGTTGTGTTCTAGTCTTTTACATTTTAAGTTTCACTATCCTCAGAAGAAAAACGTAAGAGAAATGGTCGTGAACTTTGTTCTTCCTGTAGTAATGAAGATTGGAGAATATCTGGTTGCCCCAGCTGGCCGCCAGTTTGGTTATTTGATTTTCTATGAAAGAAACATTAAGAATCTGGAGAAGCAGGTCCAAAAGCTAGAAGATAAAAGATCTGATATACTAAGAGAAGTTGATGCAGCAAAAAGTCGAAGTGATAGTATTAAAACTACTGTTGAACGGTGGTTGACACAGGCGGACGAACTCAGCAATGATGCCAACAAATTCTTTGAAGATGAAGTCACACCGAACAAAGAGTGTCTGAATGGGTGGTGTCCAAATCTGAAGTCACGCTACTCACTGAGCAGGAAAGCTACAAAGAAAACTCAAGGCTTGGAAGAGCTATGTGGGAAAGGAAATTTCTCTGGAGTTTCCATCCCTGCAGTTGCATCTCATGTGGGGACAACATTCATATCCATGGGAGGATTTAAGGGGTTTGAATCTAGAAGGTCGATTATGAATGAAGTTATGGAGGCACTGACAGATGATAGTATCTATGTGATTGGGATATGTGGGATGGGAGGGGTTGGTAAGACAACTATGGTGAAAGAAGTTGCGAAGAAAGCAGAAGAAAAGAAAATGTTCGATATTATTGTGATGGTAGTAGTGTCCCAAAACCAAAACTTGATTACTATTCAAGACCAAATAGCCAAAATATTGGATTTACAAAATTTTGGGGGAAACAATTTACCTACTGGAGCAGGGAAGATACGATCAAAAATATTGAGCTTTGGAAGAGTCCTTGTAATATTGGATGATGTATGGAAGAGACTAGAATTGGATGACATTGGAATTCCATTTGGAGATAATCACAAGGGTTGCAAAATTGTGATGACTTCAAGAAGTGAAGATGTATGCAACGGAATGGACACACAGAAGAATTTTGAAGTTGGTGTCTTACATGAAGAAGAAGCATGGAATCTCTTCAAGGAGATGGCTGGAATTTCTGACGAAGGTACAAGTCACCCAACTAATTTACAGTTGACGCAGATCGCAGTTGCGGAGGAATGTGGAGGCTTGCCGATTGCTATTGTTACAGTTGGGAGGGCACTTAGATGCAAAAACAAGTATTCATGGGATTCTGCTCTTGAACAATTACGAAAGTCTATGGTCAAAAACATCAGTGGAGTGGATGAAAAGGTGTTTAAATCTCTGGAGTTGAGTTATGATAAGCTTGAAAGTGATGAAGCCAAGAAATGCTTTCTACTCTGTTCTTTATATCCGGAAGATTTTGATATTCCAATTGAATATCTTGTTAGATATGCGATTGGGATAGAGTTGTTTCAGAGCATTGACAGTGTGCACCAAGCAAGAAACAGAGTATATTCCACAGTTGATAACTTAAAAAAATGCTATCTATTGATGGAAAGTGAAAATGAAGAGTGTATCAAAATGCATGATGTAGTACGTGACGTGGCTATATCAATTGCATCTAGGGAGGAGCATTCGTTTTTGGTGAGATGTGATGAAGTATTGACAGAATGGCCCCAGAAAAGCCGACTTCAAAAAAACACCGTAATTTCATTGAAAGTTAATGGTATGTACTGGCTTCCTAGTAATTTAGAATTTCCAAATCTCCAGCTTCTACAGCTGGATTGCAATGCTGGATTACCAACAATCTCATCATATGATCTCAACAAAGGGATGGAGAAGGTCAAAGTACAAGAGACCCCAGATAGTTTCTACAAAGGAATGAAAGAACTTAAAGTGCTAGCTTTATCCGATATGTACAGCTCATTGCCAACATCAATTCAATGCTTGACCAACCTTCGAACTTTGTCACTTTTTTGTTGCCGACTTATTGATGATGATATCTCTATAATCGGAGCATTAGAGAATTTGGAAATTTTGAGCTTTGCCGTCTCTTATATCAAGGAATTGCCAAAAGAAATAATAGGTCACCTTGCTCATTTGAAGGTACTTGATTTGTCGGGATGTGTAGTGGAACTGGTTTACCCAGGGGTTTTGTCAAGCTTATCAAAGCTAGAAGAGTTGTATGTTGGGTCTAGTTTTCATAGTTTTTGTGAAAAAAACAAAGAAGGTGCTAAAGCAATTATCGATGAGCTGGCGTCCTTGTCCAATTTAGTCGCTTTGGATATTGCTCTAATAGACATTGCCTTCTGGCCGAGAGGTTTGGTCGTTGAGAAGGTAAAAAAGTTTGATATAACTGTTGGCTCTAACTCATCATTTCTCCCTGCGTATCCGTTATCAAATCGGTTGCATCTCAGAAATGAAATTGTGTGTGACATTATTGAATCGAGGCTTAATTTGCTGTTGAAGAGCACTGAAATTCTGACTGTACACCGAAGTATAATAGGTTTGAAAATTCTCTGTGATTTGGTCAACGAAGATGGTTTTGAATGCTTAATGGTGTTATTGCTAAATGACTTGTATGATTTGGAATACCTCATCAGTACAGCAGATGGGGTTCGACAGAGTGCTTTTCCTGTGTTAGAGTGTCTACATCTTCATGAGCTACATAATTTCAAAGGGATTACTAGTCATGAATGCCGACTGCCGAACAAGGCTTTCAGTGCATTGAAAGAGTTGACACTAAATAACCTGCATGAACTGACAAATTTGTGGAAAGGTCCCACCCAACTTTTATGGCTCGGCAACCTGAGGACTGTAGATGTGTTAAATTGTAAGAAACTGGAAAGTATGTTCTCACTGTCCATAGCTAGAGATCTAGTGCAACTGCAGGTCCTTCAGATTCGTAAATGTTATGTGATGGAAGAAATTGTTTCGAGTGAAGGAGGAGAGCATGAAATGGCAGCAATAGCAACAGGTAAAATCGAGTTTCCTAAACTGAAGGAATTGCGTCTTCAATTGCTGCCAAGTTTTACTGGTATCTGCAAAGCGATAAATAAAATTGAGGTGCCACAACTGAGTTCCTTGTCACTGTCAAATATACCAAAGCTGAAGCGTCTCTGGGCTGCTTCAGATTCAGAGAGTAATTGTGATCCCATCATTCCACCCCTCTTCAACAAGGTATGCTTCTCTTATTTAAGAGCTTAATTAATTGCTAATTTGTGAACTACTTTTCATTTTATTTAGAAGAAATATCATTTTTTCCCCCGAACTTTCACCCATTTTTCAATTTGACCCCTAAAGTTCAATTAATATCAATTTTACACCAAAACTTTCAAAATTTTGATCAATTTGGCCCTCGTCATCACATTCCGTCTACAATTCGATGAAATGTGCTAACATGGCATCAAAGTTCATTAGAAATTTCATTTTACCCCCCAAACTATATCTTAAAAATCAATTTGCCTCCCAAATTAAAAATCAATTTGCCCCCTAAACTATATCTTAAAAATCAATTTACTCCACACGCCATATTCTGTCCAATTGTAGATAGAATGTGATGGCAGGGGCCAAATTGATCAAAATTTTGAAATTTTAGGTGTAAAATTGATATTAATCAAAATCTGGTGGTCAAATTGAAAAATATGTAAAAGTTTGGGTGGCGAAATGATATTTTCTCTTTTATTTACTATTATATCTCTATTACTGGTTTAATTTTTTTTCATAATTGCATAATAAGATCGTGTGAGTTACTTTTACGTCATGTTCACTGTTTACATACATATTTGTGTTTATATATCTTTCATCATACCAAATAAAAATAAGTAGAAAAAATTGGTGAAAAACCCATTTTAACAATTGTCTAAGGTATTAGATCCAAGGGATATTTTTTGTTGATGAGAGGTCCATGTTTTGTAAATAGTTTGGTGAGAAGTTTTAGAGAACATTTTGTTTCCAATTTTACCTCTTGACCTTTTTTTTTATCTGTTTGACTTTTTGTTCATTATCTGTTCAAATTTATATTTATTTGTTCAAATTTTTTTTTATCTGTTTAAATTATTTTCTATCTGTTCAAATTTTTTGTCTATCTATTAAATTTTTTTAACTTATCTATTGAATTTTTATAATTCATTTTTCCTATATGTTCAAATTCACACTATTTTCAAACTGTCTCTCTCTACTTTTCTTTCTCTCTCTATCTATTTCTCTCTTTTCTCTTTTCTTTTTTTTCTCTCAATCTGTTGAATTTTTTTTGAATCTATTTGTTAAAATTTTAATCTATATGTTATATTTACTAAGCTTATTTTAAATCTATCTGTTCAAATTTTGATCCTATCTGTTCAATTTTGTGATTTTATATGTTTAAATTTTGATCCTATATTTTGATCTACTCAAATTGTGGTTGTGTGTGTATTTATCTTATATTTGAATGGATAATCTATCATTTTCTATCCAAAACCCAACAGATAAACACACACACACAAACACACGCACAACCAGAGAGATAAACAACAACAACAATGATCACAATAATCAACAACAAAAAAAATTACAAAAACAAAAAAACACACACACACACACACAACATTGATATGTCCATTCAGCTTCAAATCAAAGACCTTTCCACTAACCACATTCTTCACCTTACCGAGTGGTTGTTGACGATGAAATCGACAATGCAGTCGGTAAGCCTTTTTTCTACCTGTTATGTGTCTAAGCTGAAGATGATGACGAATGAGTGGGTTACGACAGCGCTAATTGACGACTCGGTGGTGGTAAAGCTGGTGTTTCGTCTGAAGCACTCATTGGATTCTTTGGAGATGCTACGGTGGTGCCAATGCCAGCCGCGGTTGAAGCTAGCTCTAACCTCTGCGAAGAAGGAGGACGAGTCAACAAGGTGTAGCCCTACCATGTCTCTATCTTAGAGTTGCGGGAGTGACGATTGGATGAGTCCAGCCGCCCTTTCGATCCTTCCTCTAGTGACAGATCCAAGGTTTATATCCCCTTCTCTCTGGACTTCCTCTTTTCCTTACTGGCTTCCTAATCTCTATTGTACTTATTTCTTCGATTGACTGAAACACCTATGGCCAACGTAGTCGGTACTCTCACCGTTGATACTCTCATGTCCAGAGAAGGCCAGAGCTCGCCGCCGTTCGTTGGCGTGATCTTAGATCTTAGATCTGGAGACTCGGATCTGGATCTCAGTCTATTCCTTGGCCTCTTTACCACTATCATCAGCCTACGGCTTCATCGTGTCCCAGATCGGCTTCACTACACTCCGCCGGCGCCGGTCATCAATGATGCTCATGAGAGAGAGAGAGAATAGAGAGAAATACAGTTAAGAGAGAGAATAGACACATCAAATATATATATAGAGAGAAACATGTTTGATGATAAAATAGAAAGACGTGTGATTTTAAATATATGGGGGTAGTTCAGTCATTATATAGAAGTATGTCCTTATGGACATAATAATTTTGGGCTTGAACCTTTGGACAAAAGAAATTTGGATTTGGACTGTTGGACAGAGCGTCCAAATAAATAATAGGGAATGGATCTCTCTAGCAATTCGGCCCACTGTGAGCCTACCTCGGTCCCATATTAACAATCTGAATAGTCCATTTTGTTAGACCGTTGAGTAGATAATTCATTGTAAAAATTAGATTGATCGGACACTACAAGTCACTAAATCATATCACATTTGAATAAAAAATAATTAACAACTAGTAGAATTTTCAAAGTAGTCAATCAAATTTTTTTAAACAAATGAGATCCGATCAACTTTATTTTTGACATAGATGATCTTCTTGGAAGGTAGGGGTGTAAATCTGGCCCGGTCCATGTCGGGTCTTGTGGGCTCTTGCCAAAATTCAGGCCGGGCAACCTACGGGCCAAAAAATTAAGCCCCGGCTCAGGTCCAAGCCCAGGGGTATTTGGGCCTTGGGCGGGCCGGCCCAATGGGCTTGGCCTTGGGTGGGACTAACCAGTTTTGTTTTTGTTTTTTAAAATCTTTTCTATCAAAATTTTATTATTTTCTATTAAAAAATACACTGGGCCTCGGGCTGGTCGGGCTTTGGGTTGGGTCCTAAGTGGGCCTTAAGTGGGCCAAGCAGGCCGGGCTAGGCTTTAAAACGATGGCCTTGACCCAGGGGCTCGGGCCTGGGCCCAAGCCGCCCGCTTGGGCCTATCGCGAGCTGCGGGCCATTTTTACACTCCTATTGGAGGGTCATACAAAATGAACAGTTTGGAGCACTACAACAATTTTTAGAGGCAAAAATTAAGGAATTAAATATCTTAGTTGCAAAAATAAAAATCATTATTATATTTTTAGCGATGAAAATGACATTTAATAATCAATTACTATCATTTTGGAACAAAATTTTTGTGTCAAATAAGTAAACCTTTTTTAAATCAAATTGTTTTGTTTCTAGAAGGACATTTACTAGTGACATTTTAAAATTGTCACTAATAATCATTTTTTTACTTTTTCAAACACCTTTTCCGAACGATTGAAATTTGCATCCTAATATTTTTTTTGGGATAAAAAACACTTTTAGTCCCTAAAGTATGCATTTTTTTTTATCCTTTTTATTTTAGTCCTTTAAATTTTAATTTTATCATTTTAGTTTTCAAAGTTATCAATTTGAGTCAATTTAGTCCTAAATTTAACGTTCATCTACATTGATGACAAGAATATGAATAAAAAAATAATTTTGGTCCCTAAAGTATGCGATTTTTTTTTGTCATTTTAATCTCTCAATTTCTAAATTTTGTTATTTTGGTCCTCAAAGTTGTTAATTTGAGTTAATTTGGTCCTAACTCAAATTGATAAATTTCAGGACTAAAATGACAATTTAAATTTGAGGGATTAAAATGACAAAAAAAGCATAGTTTAGGGACCAAAACTATCTTTTATTCAAGAATAAAATATATTTCTAGTCATTAATGTAAACGGACATTAGAGATAGGAATAAATTAACTCAAATTGACAATTTTGAAGATCAAAATGATAAAATTAAAATTTTAGAGACTAAAATGACAAAGAACGCATATTTTGAGGACTAAAATTATCTTTTATCCTATTTTTTGTAATAATATTTTTGCTTGAGGACAAAAATATTTGTTAAATTTTTTATATGTTGTAAAAGATCATTGAGATCATTGACGCGGGACCCACCCCCATAGAGCACAACAATGACAAAATTTTAGATCGAAGGATAATTATGTTATAAAAAATATTTATATTATCAAACAGATCATTAGTACATAATAGCTAGAAAGTCAACTCTATAGTATGGGAGAAATAAACCAATCACCACAAAAGGAATCAAACTTTTTTTTCATAAAAGTTGACCTTGAGATCTCACATCATAAAAAATGTTGCACAATCACTAGGTCACCCATCAATTTAAAAATTATACATTTAACTTAATCCTTCATTTTGTACCGATCATAAATGAATAGAGATTTAATTTTTTCTTTTTGGGGAAATTTTTGAATTTCTTAACTTTACTAAAACTTATTAAAATGAGATTTGATTAAACATTATGAATTTAGTGTAAATTTGAGTTTTAATTTATTTTGTTCTAATAATAGCTTGATACATTAAACTTTATAAAATAAGAAGTCTAACTGGGTTATGTAGGCTACATTTTAGCATTTATGCATTTTTTTAGTAATATCTAGTCAATGTGATTATATAAGAAAAGATTTAGGGCAAAGTACGTCTGTAGTGTTTGTATTTTGGTCTTTACATCATTTTGGTATTTATAATATCATTTGGCTCAATTCAAGGCCGACCCTAAGCTGAGCCCTAAATTTGGATAAAATTTAGGACCCTCCATTAGAAATAGGTATAGTGTCATTTTATTTTAAATTTATGTCAGAATTACTTTAATACTAATAATTCAATTCATTTATTTTTTCTGTTAGAACATTGCTATTCAAGTCTAAAAATTAAATCCAATTTTCAAGTCCAATCATGTGGCAATCAATTAGGACATCTAAGGTAACGCTTTCTCTGTTGATAATTAAATATTCTTTTATTATCAACCAATCATCTTCTTGACATATCACTGGGTCTATAAAGCGGATCTAAAAAGTAGACTTGTATATCATTTTTCTTTTTCTAATCATCAACCAATCATATCACTTACATATTATTGGATTTAGAAAGTAGA